GGACCACATTTCTTGAAGCACTGTAGGCACATCCCTAAGCCCATTCCAAGGAGCTCAGTGATTTTTTTTAGCAGGTGAGGCCACTTTTAAAGAGGCCAAGTCCTGCAGTACCCGGGCCTCCCCCCGGGTCGCTCCCCTCCCCCTGGGTCACCTCCCCAGGAGCTCGCACCTGTAAGTCCACCTGCACAGGGAAGCGAGGCGGGATTCTCTGGCAATAAGACCAGGCCAGGGTCAACCGTGAGGCATAGCTTTTTTTCTCACTCGATAACTCCGGGCTAGGATTAAAAAAAAAAAAAAAAAAAAAAAAAAAAAAAGTAGTAGTAGTAGTAGTAGTAGTAGTAGTAGTAGTAGTAGTAGCAGTAGTAGTAGCAGTAGTAGTAGTAGTAGTAGTAGTAGTAGTAGTAGTAGTAGTAGTAGTAGTAGTAGTAGTAGTAACAGTAGTAGTAGCAGTAGTAGTAGTAGTAGTAGTAGTAGTAGTAGTAGTAGTAGTAGTAGTAGCAGTAGTAGTAGTAGTAGTAGTAGTAACAGTAGTAGTAGCAGTAGTAGCAGTAGTAGTAGTAGTAGTAGTAGCAGTAGTAGCAGTAGTAGTAGTAGTAGTAGTAGCAGTAGTAGTAGTAGTAGTAGTAGTAGTAGCAGTAGTAGCAGTAGTAGTAGTAGTAGTAGTAGCAGTAGTAGTAGTAGTAGTAGTAGTAGTAGTAACAGTAGTACTTATACTTGAAACCATATGAAACAAACGGTGGTGAATGAAGCTGTAAAACTTTCAGGAGAAACATGAAAATGTTTGAGATCAAACTCAGAGCAAAGAACTCAGAGCAAAGACCTCAGAGCGTTCAGAAAACCACCCAAAAATGTGTTCAAAAAAGTAAACTTCCAAATCTTTTCATTTCATTCTATCATCACACATCAGGCAACTCTCACTGTCGCTAAGCAACAGCACGACTGGCAGAACCAATCAGAGCCAAGGATCCGAGAGCCGTCACTTCCTCTGAGAACATCACCAACATCTGTCTGTCCTTCACCAAGTCTGAGCATTATCCACTGTTTTCTACTAAACATGTGGAATACAATGTGAAACTAACCACTGCCTTTTTCATTAACAATAGGAAAGTATGCTAACTTAGTGAATTAGACAAATAAGGCAATAATTAGGCTAATTAGCTTGGAGATTTTATACTAGCTTCTGTATTATGCTAAACCTAGAGGTTTTTACTAGCTTCTGTATTATGCTAAACCTAGAGGTTTATACTAGCTTCTGTATTATGCTAACAGTAATTCTTTTGTTTCATTTTAGTACAGAGTAATTATTCATGTATCTTGTGCTGTGTGCTCCTCGTTCCTACTGTTCTGTAACTAGTGATGCAACACTGGAATTTCTTCTTTATCTTATTGTATGTGATTTCTTGTGTGTTGGGCTTTCGAAGTAATCTGATCCAAACCAGGTCTAAAATGTAAACTTTTCTGGGTCTAAATTGATTGTGATTTAGTTGATGTATTAAAAAGGAGAGAAACTCTTCTTTATACCATGTTACAGCACTGTGCTCTTATCAAACACAGACCTGGAGTCGCATTTAGATCCATCCATGCCAACTTTAGGAACTTTGGCACGAACAAACACGGACACACTGCTGCAGCTGAATAGGCTACACCTCCCTCTAGTGGTAGCATGAGGATAGGGCAGGCAGATATCATTATTTATTCATATATTTCACCAGAATTTCTACTGAGGATATTATTTCACATTCTAAAACAAAATACATGACAAAGTATAGAGCAGACATGGGCAAACTTTTCCTCCTGAGGGCCACATTGGAAATTAGGTCCGGATCCCAACAGCCGCCTGATATTTCAATGTTTATCTCAGGCTTCATTTTAAAACATAAATGTATGGTTTATATGAAAAAAATATCTCTGCACACAGCACAGAGGGGATTGTATGATGTTTAAACTGAAATGACCCCACTGTGGGATGAATAAATGTTCTTAATTCTAACCTCTCTTGATCTTAATCTTAATATATATATTTTGAGGAGGGCTCAGGGGCCTGATAGAAGCATCCAAAGGGCCGCATCTGGCCCACGGGCCGGGGTTTGCCCACCACTGGTATAGAGTCTCATTATCATTACTCAGGAGCCAAAAATGTGTTTTCATTAAAGCAGTATCATCCTTTATGCTAATATGCATCAATAATATTAGTCTGCGGCTTGTCCTGTTTTTAAGTTCTGAATTTGTGAGTTTTATTTTTACCCTGGATTTGGTTTTATTTCCTCAAACTACATGAATATTCTCAGTCCTGCATTTTTGGTTTCCCTTTTCACCTCATGAAAAAGTACCTGAAAATGGTATATTATTTAACCGTTAATCAAACAGAAAGATCCCATTGAGATTCAAACATCAATTGGTTGAATTCCATCCGACCAATCAGAGAGCGCGGGAGGCGGGTGTTGTAGTTAGTTGTGGGTGACGTCAAGAGTTTGCGTCGATCGGGCAGGTTTTAGTTTGGAGAAGAATGTGATAGTAAAGTATTCTGGTCTGGTTCTATCAAGAAACTGAAGCCGGAGCAAGAGGAATGTTTAGCAAATGTAATCGCTGCAAAGATTGTGGCGCTTCTCCCCACGGGCTCCGTTAGCGGCAAAGGAGATGGCTAAAGCTAGGCTAAATGCTAACGACTCACTCGGGCTCATTACATACGTCACAGTAAACTCAGATCCAATGGTTTCAATCTGTAAAAGGAGTTAGCCCCTCCCATCTGTTAACAGAGTCAATGGACCAAATCCAGACCTTAGTATGAAATGAAATGTGTGCTATGGTGTGGTACGATCAGGCTACAGTAGTACTGTAAATTATAATATATGATTTCAACACTAGATGGGAGTAAAAACTACACAGTGGACCTTTAAATCAGATGTATTTGGCTCAGACTTTGGAGGGACTCTTACAGCAGTGATGGAGGGTTTCTTGCCGTCGCCGGCCGGAGGATGAGTGACGTCTGCTCCCAGGAAGATGACCGGCTGCTGGAACACTGCCGACCTGACCACACCAACACAGACTGGTTAATCTGCTCGTCTTTAATGACCAATGACAATTAAGACTCTCTATGGTTTGGATAGAAAGATAACAATAATAATAATAATAATGGATTGGGTTTATTCTGCGCTTTTCAGGACTCTCAAAGTCTCTTCACATTATTCTGTCTCTCCAAACACGGTGGTGATAAACTACTACTGTAGCCACAGCTGCCCTGGGGCACACTGACAGAAGCCATCGGCCCCTCCCACCACCACCAACCATTCACACACACAGCAGACTCATTCTAATGTGGGAGAAGTGTCTTGCCTAAGGACACAACCACAGTCTGGCAATTTACAGCTGCAGCCGCCCCACTGTGGCACCTGCTGTTCCCAGAGGTCTCCCATCACAGTACTGACCAGGCCCTGCCCAGCTTAGCTTTTGAGGTCTGACAGGATCTAGTTTTGATCTGCAGCTATGGCCATCCATCCATCCATCCATTTTCTTCCGCTTCATCCGTTGCCAGGTTGTGGGGGCAGCAGTCTAAGCAGAGACGCCCAGGCTTCCCTATCCACACACACTTCCTCCAGCTCGTCCGGGGGGACCCCAAGGCGTTCCCAGGCCAGCTGAGAGACATAGTCCCTCCAGCGTGTCCTGGGTCTTCCCCGGGGCCTCCTCCCGGTGGGACGTGCCCGGAACACCTCCCCAGGGAGGCGTCCAGGAGGCATCCGGAACAGATGCCCGAGCCACCTCAACTGGTTCCTCTCGACGTGGAGGACCAGCGGCTCTACTCCGAGCTCCTCCCGTGTGACTGAGCTCCTCACCCTATCTCTAAGGGAGCAGCCACTCTGCGGAGGAAGCTCATTTCGACCGCTTGTATCCGCGATCTCGTTCTTTCGGTCATTACCCAAAGCTCATGTCATGACCATAGGTGAGGGAGGGGACGAAGATTGACCGGTAAATCGAGAGCTTTGCCTTTCAGCTCAGCTCCCTCTTTACCACAACGGTCCGATACAGCTCTGACTGCAGACGCTGCTCCCTCTTTACCACAACGGTCCGATACAGCGACCGCATCACTGCGCACGCTGCACCGATCCGCCTGTCAATCTCACGCTCCATTCTTCCCTCACTCGTGAACAAGACCCCGAGATACTTGAACTCCTCCACTTGAGGAAGGACCTCTCCACCCACCTGCAGAGGGCAAGGCACCTTTTTCCGGTCGAGCACCATGGCCTCAGATTTGGAGGTGCTGATTCTCATCCCAGCCGCTTCATACTCTATGCTAGCTATGGCCATTAATAAAATTTTAATTTAAAGTCACATAACAACACTACCATTAAGAGTGACGCATAAGTTACCGATACATCTGCCTTTAGTTCAGTTTGAGCAGATGAAAGAAGTAAGTCATGATTATTTATATAGCGCATGTTACAGACCAAGGTCACCCAGAGTTATTGAAGTTCAGATATATTCCTACACACGCATCCAGCACCATCCATTTACTTACATCCACATCTATTGTACTTGTTTTTAGCTGTGGGGCAAACCGGAGCACCTGGAGGAAACCTACGCAGACACGGCGAGAACAGGCAGACTCCACACAGAAAGGCCTGGAGGTGGAATTGGAACCCAGGACCTTCATGCTGTGTCTTGTGCCGTCCAAGTACATAACAACTACTACAGATGCAGGTCCAGTACCTTTGATGAGGGACCAGGATGTTGTTGATGCCTCCCAGCTTCACGTTGATCTTGAGGCAGAGGTTGGAGAGAGTCTGTGGAGACGTCTTCACCACATTCTTCACCTGGACGCACTGTGTGGCCATGCCCAGGAGAGTATCCCCCACACGCTTCACCTCCGCTGCAGGGTGAGAATGAATACATGTGTTTAGATCAGAGAACCAAATGTCAGAGTCTGCAGTCTTAGCAGGGGCAGATGCAAACTAGCATGATGCTAACAAGGTTGCTACAACAAGCCTTCCACCACGAATTATTGGTCCATCCTCATGGCTCGTAACTACAGTGTCAAAATATAAACTTGAAGGAAACACAGATTTTTGAAGCCCAAAATGACACTCTATACATAAATAAAGATAAGTCATTGGGCTTCACTTTATTCAATTCAATTCAATACTTTAGTAGTAAGTTTTTATTTATATACCGCCTTTTCACTGCAGATCTGAGTCTCAAAGCGGTTTACAATTGTTAATTTTGGGCATTTGTCTCTCACTCCACACAGAGATGGGTGGGGCCAGTACAGGAGGCACATGCCAGAACTATTGGACATATTTTTAGTGGTAGGGGAAACCGGAGCACCCGGAGGAAACCTACGCAGACACAGGGAGAACATGCAAACTCCACTCAGAAAGGCCCTGGTCCGACCGGGATTCAAACCCAGGACCTTCTTGCTGAGAGGCGAGAGTGCTATCCACTCAGCCACCGTGCCGCCCTTTACTTTTACTTTACTTCGGACACAAGAGTAAAAGGTCTGTACCAAAAGACATACAAAAAACACATCTATCTATCTATCTACAGCAGGCATGTCCAAACTCAGGCCCGTGGGCCATTGGCGGCCCGCTGCATCCTGTTTTGTGGCCCTACGCCGTGCTAACTCAAAGTACCATTTAGATAACAAATAATAATAATAATAATAACAATGTATTGTTTTCTTTAGCGCTTTTTGGACACTCAAATATGCTTCAGACGTCATTATTCTTTCTCTCCAGACACGGTGCTGATAAACTACTGCAGCCACAGCTGAGCTCAGGTCAAAACCTCCTTTTACGTCTCAAAATATGGTGAACTAAAGTGGCCCTAATACTAAAAAGTTTGATCTACAGTCTATGGTCTGAAAAACCATAGACCGGTGTTTTCCTTCTATAACATGAATATAACTTATGTCTGTACCATAGACTGGTGTTTTCCTTCTATAACATGAATATAACTTATGTCTGTACCATAGACTGGTGTTTTCCTTCTATAACATGAATATAACTTATGTCTGTACCATAGACCGGTGTTTTCCTTCTATAACATGAATATAACTTATGTCTGTACCATAGACCGGTGTTTTCCCCGGGAGGATGACGATGATGAGCTGCAGTCCAGAATATGTGTTTTTGAGGTGTCTGAACATGGGCTCCACACTGTCTGCTCCTTGGGCGTATTTACAGAAACAAGGCTGGCCCTGGATCGGCATCCCAGCATCCTTAGAGATCTTACGCAGCTGGTCTGTGAAGTTTCTGGAGAAAAGAATCCAAAAACACGCAGATGTTAAACTGTGCATTGGCCGTATTCACATCACTGTTTTATTTTATATTTAATTTTTTTGCTTTTAGAATTTAAATGGTCAGAATGTCATGATTCAAAAACATGACAAAACAGTTATAACACAAAGGAAAGGATGTATACAAAATAATAATAATACTATTAATAATAATAATAATACTACATCAAATAAACATAAAATATAAAGTTAAAGAAAAAAGGCAAGAAAAGCAAATACAATTGGAAAAAGATTGTATTCACTTCAAGATTCTGATTCTTTCAAACCTGCTAAAATCTGGAACAATCTTCCTGAAAATGTGAGACAGACTTCTTCTCTGACAGTGTTCACATCCAGGTTAAAACAGTTTTGTTTATTTGTGCTACAACTGAAGGATTGTGTCCCTCCCAGTGGAGTCAGTAGTCAGTAGTCAGCAGTCAACAGTCAGTAGTCAGCAGTCAACAGTCAGTAGTCAGTAGTCAGTAGTCAACAGTCAGTAGTCAACAGTCAGTAGTCAGCAGTCAACAGTCAGTAGTCAGTAGTCAGTAGTCAGTAGTCAGCAGTCAACAGTCAACAGTCAACAGTCAACAGTCAGCAGTCAACAGTCAACAGTCAGTAGTCAGTAGTCAACAGTCAGTAGTCAACAGTCAGTAGTCAGCAGTCAACAGTCAGTAGTCAGTAGTCAGTAGTCAGTAGTCAGCAGTCAACAGTCAACAGTCAACAGTCAACAGTCAGCAGTCAACAGTCAACAGTCAACAGTCAACAGTCAGCAGTCAACAGTCAACAGTCAGTAGTCAGTAGTCAACAGTCAGCAGTCAGCAGTCAACAGTCAACAGTCAGCAGTCAACAGTCAACAGTCAGTAGTCAACAGTCAGTAGTCAGCAGTCAGCAGTCAACAGTCAGTAGTCAGTAGTCAACAGTCAGTAGTCAGCAGTCAACAGTCAACAGTCAACAGTCAACAGTCAGCAGTCAACAGTCAACAGTCAGTAGTCAGTAGTCAACAGTCAGCAGTCAACAGTCAACAGTCAACAGTCAGTAGTCAGTAGTCAACAGTCAGCAGTCAACAGTCAACAGTCAACAGTCAACAGTCAGTAGTCAGTAGTCAGTAGTCAACAGTCAGCAGTCAACAGTCAACAGTCAGTAGTCAGTAGTCAACAGTCAGCAGTCAACAGTCAACAGTCAGTAGTCAGTAGTCAGTAGTCAGCAGTCAACAGTCAACAGTCAACAGTCAGTAGTCAGTAGTCAGTAGTCAACAGTCAGCAGTCAACAGTCAACAGTCAGTAGTCAGTAGTCAGTAGTCAGCAGTCAGCAGTCAACAGTCAACAGTCAACAGTCAGTAGTCAGTAGTCAGTAGTCAACAGTCAGCAGTCAACAGTCAACAGTCAGTAGTCAGTAGTCAACAGTCAGCAGTCAACAGTCAACAGTCAGTAGTCAGTAGTCAGCAGTCAACAGTCAGTAGTCAACAGTCAGTAGTCAGTAGTCAACAGTCAGTAGTCAGCAGTCAGTAGTCAACAGTCAGCAGTCAGTAGTCAGCAGTCAACAGTCAGTAGTCAGCAGTCAGCAGTCAACAGTCAACAGTCAACAGTCAGTAGTCAGCAGTCAGTAGTCAGTAGTCAGTAGTCAACAGTCAACAGTCAGTAGTCAGTAGTCAGCAGTCAACAGTCAGTAGTCAGCAGTCAACAGTCAGTAGTCAGTAGTCAACAGTCAGTAGTCAGTAGTCAGCAGTCAACAGTCAGTAGTCAGCAGTCAACAGTCAACAGTCAGTAGTCAGCAGTCAGTAGTCAGTAGTCAGTAGTCAACAGTCAACAGTCAGCAGTCAACAGTCAGTAGTCAGTAGTCAGTAGTCAACAGCCAACAGTCAGTAGTCAGTAGTCAACAGTCAGTAGTCAGTAGTCAACAGTCAGTAGTCAGTAGTCAACAGTCAACAGTCAGTAGTCAGTAGTCAACAGTCAGTAGTCAACAGCCAATAGCCAACAGTCAGTAGTCAACAGTCAACAGTCAGTAGTCAGTAGTCAGCAGTCAACAGTCAGTAGTCAGCAGTCAACAGTCAACAGTCAGTAGTCAGCAGTCAGTAGTCAACAGTCAACAGTCAGCAGTCAACAGTCAGTAGTCAACAGTCAGTAGTCAACAGCCAACAGTCAGTAGTCAACAGTCAGTAGTCAGTAGTCAACAGTCAGTAGTCAACAGTCAGTAGTCAGTAGTCAACAGTCAGTAGTCAACAGTCAGTAGTCAACAGCCAACAGTCAACAGTCAGTAGTCAACAGTCAGTAGTCAACAGTCAGTAGTCAACAGCCAACAGTCAACAGTCAGCAGTCAACAGTCAACAGTCAACAGTCAGTAGTCAGTAGTCAACAGTCAGCAGTCAACAGTCAACAGTCAGTAGTCAGTAGTCAGCAGTCAACAGTCAGTAGTCAACAGTCAGTAGTCAGTAGTCAACAGTCAGTAGTCAGCAGTCAGTAGTCAGTAGTCAACAGTCAGCAGTCAGTAGTCAGCAGTCAACAGTCAGTAGTCAGCAGTCAGCAGTCAACAGTCAACAGTCAACAGTCAGTAGTCAGCAGTCAGTAGTCAGTAGTCAGTAGTCAACAGTCAACAGTCAGTAGTCAGTAGTCAGCAGTCAACAGTCAGTAGTCAGCAGTCAACAGTCAGTAGTCAGTAGTCAACAGTCAGTAGTCAGTAGTCAGCAGTCAACAGTCAGTAGTCAGCAGTCAACAGTCAACAGTCAGTAGTCAGCAGTCAGTAGTCAGTAGTCAGTAGTCAACAGTCAACAGTCAGCAGTCAACAGTCAGTAGTCAGTAGTCAGTAGTCAACAGCCAACAGTCAGTAGTCAGTAGTCAGTAGTCAACAGTCAGTAGTCAGTAGTCAACAGTCAACAGTCAACAGTCAGTAGTCAGTAGTCAACAGTCAGTAGTCAACAGCCAATAGCCAACAGTCAGTAGTCAACAGTCAACAGTCAGTAGTCAGTAGTCAGCAGTCAACAGTCAGTAGTCAGCAGTCAACAGTCAACAGTCAGTAGTCAGCAGTCAGTAGTCAACAGTCAACAGTCAGCAGTCAACAGTCAGTAGTCAACAGTCAGTAGTCAACAGCCAACAGTCAGTAGTCAACAATCAGTAGTCAGTAGTCAACAGTCAGTAGTCAACAGTCAGTAGTCAGTAGTCAACAGTCAGTAGTCAACAGTCAGTAGTCAACAGCCAACAGTCAACAGTCAGTAGTCAACAGTCAGTAGTCAGTAGTCAACAGTCAGTAGTCAACAGTCAGTAGTCAACAGCCAACAGTCAGTAGTCAACAGTCAGTAGTCAGTAGTCAGCAGTCAGTAGTCAACAGTCAACAGTCAGTAGTCAGCAGTCAACAGTCAGTAGTCAGTAGTCAACAGTCAGTAGTCAGTAGTCAACAGTCAGTAGTCAGTAGTCAACAGTCAGTAGTCAACAGTCAGTAGTCAACAGTCAGTAGTCAACAGTCAGTAGTCAGTAGTCAGCAGTCAACAGTCAGTAGTCAACAGTCAGTAGTCAACAGTCAGTAGTCAGTAGTCAACAGTCAGTAGTCAACAGTCAGTAGTCAGTAGTCAACAGTCAGTAGTCAACAGTCAACAGTCAGTAGTCAACAGTCAGTAGTCAACAGTCAGTAGTCAGTAGTCAACAGTCAGTAGTCAACAGTCAGTAGTCAACAGACAGTAGTCAACATTCAGTAGTCAACAGTCAGTAGTCAACAGTCAGTAGTCAGTAGTCAACAGTCAGTAGTCAGTAGTCAACAGTCAGTAGTCAACAGACAGTAGTCAACATTCAGTAGTCAACAGTCAGTAGTCAACAGTCAGTAGTCACCAGTCAGTAGTCCACAGTCAACAGTCAGTAGTCAGTAGTCCACAGTCAACAGTCAGTAGTCAGTAGTCAACAGTCAGTAGTCAACAGTCAACAGTCAGTAGTCAGCAGTCAACAGTCAGTAGTCAGTAGTCAACAGTCAGTAGTCAAGAGTCAGTAGTCAGCAGTCAGTAGTCAACAGTCAACAGTCAGTAGTCAGCAGTCAACAGTCAGTAGTCAGTAGTCAACAGTCAGTAGTCAAGAGTCAGTAGTCAGCAGTCAGTAGTCAACAGTCAGTAGTCAACAGTCAGTAGTCAACAGTCAGTAGTCACCAGTCAGTAGTCCACAGTCAACAGTCAGTAGTCAGTAGTCAGTAGTCAGTAGTCAACAGTCAACAGTCAGTAGTCAGTAGTCAACAGTCAGTAGTCAGTAGTCAACAGTCAGTAGTCAAGAGGCAGTAGTCAAGAGTCAGTAGTCAGCAGTCAACAGTCAGTAGTCAGTAGTCAACAGTCAGTAGTCAGCAGTCAACAGTCAGTAGTCAGTAGTCAACAGTCAGTAGTCAGCAGTCAACAGTCAGTAGTCAACAGTCAGTAGTCAAGAGTCAGTAGTCAACAGTCAGTAGTCAGTAGTCAGTAGTCAGCAGTCAACAGTGAGTAGTCAGTAGTCAACAGTCAGTAGTCAGTAGTCAACAGTCAGTAGTCAAGAGTCAGTAGTCAGCAGTCAACAGTGAGTAGTCAGTAGTCAACAGTCAGTAGTCAGCAGTCAGTAGTCAGTAGTCAACAGTCAGTAGTCAGTAGTCAACAGTCAGTAGTCAACAGTCAGTAGTCAACAGTCAGTAGTCAGTAGTCAAGGCAAGTTTATTTGTATAGCACAATTCATACACAAGGCAACTCAAAGTGCTGAACAAGAAAGCATTAAAATCATAAATAATCACAGAACATTAAAACGAAAGATGAAAATATAAAATCCCTCAGTTGTAGCACAGTTAAACAGCACCGTTTTTAACTTGGTTTTAAACATTGTCAGAGAGGAGGCCTGTCTCACATCTTCAGGAAGATTGTTCCAGATTTTAGCAGCATGAATCTGAAAAGCAGCCTCCCCATGTTTAGTTCTGACTCTGGGCACTAACAGGAGTCCAGTCCCTGTGCTCCTCAGAGTCCCAGCAGGAGTCCAGTCCCTGTGCTCCTCAGAGTCCCAGCAGGAGTCCAGTCCCTGTGCTCCTCAGAGTCCCAGCAGGAGTCCAGTCCCTGTGCTCCTCAGAGTCCCAGCAGGAGTCCAGTCCCTGTGCTCCTCAGAGTCCCAGCAGGAGGCCAGTCCCTGTGCTCCTCAGAGTCCGGGCTGGTTCATATGGGACTAACATGTCACTAATATATTTTGGTGCAAGGCCATGGAGAGACTTGTAACAAGCAGAGCTGTTTTAAAGTCTATTCTCTGAGCCACAGGAAGCCAGTGCAGAGACCTGAGGACCGGACTAATGTGGTCGTACTTCCTGGTTCTAGTCAGGACTAATGTGGTCGTACTTCCTGGTTCTAGTCAGGACTAATGTGGTCGTTCTTCCTGGTTCTAGTCAGGACTAATGTGGTCGTACTTCCTGGTTCTAGTCAGGACTAATGCGGTCGTACTTCCTGGTTCTAGTCAGGACTAATGTGGTCGTACTTCCTGGTTCTAGTCAGGACTAATGTGGTCGTACTTCCTGGTTCTAGTCAGGACTAATGTGGTCGTACTTCCTGGTTCTAGTCAGGACTAATGTGGTCGTACTTCCTTGTTCTAGTCAGGACTAATGTGGTCGTACTTCCTGGTTCTAGTCAGGACTAATGTGGTCGTACTTCCTGGTTCTAGTCAGGACTAATGTGGTCGTACTTCCTGGTTCTAGTCAGGACTAATATGGTCGTACTTCCTGGTTCTAGTCAGGACTAATATGGTCGTACTTCCTGGTTCTAGTCAGGACTAATGTGGTCGTACTTCCTGGTTCTTGTCAGGACTCAAGCTGCTGCACTTTGAATGTACTGCAGCTTTTTTAGTCATTAGTCATTAGTCATTAGTCATTAGTCATTAGTCATTAGTCATTAGTCATCAGTACTTACTTCAGGACTTCCTCTCTGCACTGTTTCTGTGGAGCGAAACACGCGATGGCCCAGACTTTGATCTCGATGCCGTTATAAAACTGCTTCCCCCTCATGTCCCACACGCCCTGGTTAGGAGTCGCTATGGCCCGATTCTGTGGAGGGTTAAAGGAGAAACATGTACGGAATAAAACCAGGAATAAAACCAGGAATAAAAGCAGGATTTCTATCTTTGTGAAAAAGGTGTTGGTTATAGATTTGTTGTTGACAAAACTCTTGTCTATTCAGCTGTTATGGTCCCAGCTGGATTCGTCTGCATATCTGGCAACCTGAGTCAGGGACAGTGGGAGAGGCTGCAGTACCACTTTTGGCCACACGTTCTTTGTTTTCAGGAGAATATTCCAGAAAAGCGTGGTTACCCTTCCTCCGTACTGTAGGATCGGAGCTGGGAGCACGCGGCCCGTCACTTCGGCCATGTCGTCTTTCACTTTGATCCCAAACTCCTGGATGTACGGGTCCAGGTTGAAGTTGGCGTTTTTCATCTACAAAAACACAAAAATCCAACAGACTTTATTATTATTGTTATTAACCCTTTGCCACCACAGAAATACCGGCATTAGCTCCGCCCACTTCTGTGTTTTTCCCCAACGCAGGACGTCAGACGCACAGGTTTGAATGTTATGAATGTGATAGAAAACGCAGATGTTTGTTATGTGTGGAAGAGCTTTTTTTGAAAACAAAGTTAAGTGGATATAAAAAAATATATATAAACGGAGGGAGGGACATATTCAGTTTTAAAAACACCCACATGACCTCAGATTCTGCATCACTTTTATCGCTGCATCTTTGAAAGTTTGTTTGTTGGTTCTGTGACCAGAGAAGGACCAGAGAGAGAGACCAGAGAGAGAGACCAGAGAGAGAGACCAGAGAGAGACCAGAGAGAGACCAGAGAGAGAGACCAGAGAGAGACCAGAGAGAGAGACCAGAGAGAGAGGCCAGAGAGAGACCAGAGAGAGACCAGAGAGAGAGACCAGAGAGAGACCAGAGAGAGAGACCAGAGAGAGAGACCAGAGAGAGACCAGAGAGAGAGACCAGAGAGAGAGACCAGAGAGAGGCCAGAGAGAGAGACCAGAGAGAGACCAGAGAGAGAGACCAGAGAGAGAGACCAGAGAGAGACCAGAGAGAGAGACCAGAGAGAGAGACCAGAGAGAGAGACCAGAGAGAGACCAGAGAGAGAGACCAGAGAGAGAGACCAGAGAGAGACCAGAGAGAGAGACCAGAGAGAGAGACCAGAGAGAGACCAGAGAGAGAGACCAGAGAGAGAGACCAGAGAGAGAGACCAGAGAGAGACCAGAGAGAGACCAGAGAGAGACCAGAGAGAGAGACCAGAGAGAGACCAGAGAGAGAGACCAGAGAGAGACCAGAGAGAGAGACCAGAGAGAGAGACCAGAGAGAGAGACCAGAGAGAGAGACCAGAGACAGAGACCAGAGAGAGACCAGAGAGAGAGACCAGAGAGAGAGACCAGAGAGAGACCAGAGAGAGAGACCAGAGAGAGAGACCAGAGAGAGAGACCAGAGAGAGACCAGAGAGAGAGACCAGAGAGAGAGATCAGAGAGAGACCAGAGAGAGAGACCAGAGAGAGAGACCAGAGAGAGAGACCAGAGAGAGACCAGAGAGAGAGACCAGAGAGAGAGACCAGAGAGAGACCAGAGAGAGAGACCAGAGAGAGAGACCAGAGAAGGACCAGAGAGAGACCAGAGAGAGAGACCAGAGAGAGAGACCAGAGAGAGAGACCAGAGAGAGACCAGAGAGAGAGACCAGAGAGAGAGACCAGAGAGAGAGACCAGAGAAGGACCAGAGAGAGACCAGAGAGAGAGACCAGAGAGAGAGACCAGAGAGAGACCAGAGAGAGAGACCAGAGAGAGACCAGAGAGAGAGACCAGAGAGAGAGACCAGAGAGAGAAACCAGAGAAGGACCAGAGAGAGACCAGAGAGAGAGACCAGAGAGAGAAGAAGAGAGAGAGACCAGAGAGAGAGACCAGAGAGAGACCAGAGAGAGAGACCAGAGAGAGACTAGAGAGAGAGACCAGAGAGAGAGACCAGAGAGAGACCAGAGAGAGAGACCAGAGAGAGAGACCAGAGAAGGACCAGAGAGAGACCAGAGAGAGAGACCAGAGAGAGAGACCAGAGAGAGAGACCAGAGAGAGAGACCAGAGAGAGAGACCAGAGAAGGACCAGAGAGAGACCAGAGAGAGAGACCAGAGAGAGAAGAAGAGAGAGAGACCAGAGAGAGAGACCAGAGAGAGAGAGACCTGAGAGAGACCAGAGAGAGAAGAAGAGAGAGACCAGAGAGAGAGAGACCTGAGAGAGACCAGAGAGAGACCAGAGAGACCATAGAGAGACCAGAGAGACCAGAGAGAGACCTGAGAGAGACCAGAGAGAGAAGAAGAGAGAGACCAGAGAGAGAGAGACCAGAGAGAGACCAGAGAGAGAGACCAGAGAGAGAGACCAGAGAGAGAGACCAGAGAGAGAAGAAGAGAGAGACCAGAGAGAGAGAGAACTGAGAGAGACCAGAGAGAGACCAGAGAGACCAGAGAGAGACCTGAGAGAGACCAGAGAGAGACCAGAGAGAGAGACCAGAGAGAGAGAGACCTGAGAGAGACCAGAGAGAGAAGAAGAGAGAGACCAGAGAGAGAGAGACCTGAGAGAGACCAGAGAGAGACCAGAGAGACCAGAGAGAGACCTGAGAGAGACCAGAGAGAGAAGAAGAGAGAGACCAGAGAGAGAGAGACCAGAGAGAGACCAGAGAGACCAGAGAGAGACCAGAGAGAGAGTATTTAGTAGAAGATCCAATAGTAAATCTTGAGCTTAGAAACAATGCAAAGAGACCTAAAGAATCTAACGCTCAATCGCCAAAATAAAGGACATTTGTGCCTCGACCTCCTTCAGTATTATCCCATATTTTTCAGAAAAACAAAAATATAGAGTGACTCACCAGGCGACTGATCTCCTCCTGTCGGTCCGGGGCCGAGCGGGCGGTGGCTTTGATCATGGTGGAGGTCTGATTATCTGTCAGCTTCTTGATACATCTCTGACCCGCTACAATGTTACACACCTGGACATCAACACAGGAGGAAATACTGAAGTGTTGTTTTGCTGTGCTCCACATTAGCTGGTTATGCTAGCTGGGCTTGAGAGTGTGGGGAGTACCTCTAAAGGCAGGTAGGTGTGCTTCTGCTCCTGCCCCACCTGGAGGCAGGGCAGGTGGGGGTATTTCAGCTGCAGGTTGTACTTCTGCTTGAAGTACTGAGCCACGGTACATTCTACGGTCTGCCCACTCTCCAGCTGGAGCGGGAACCTGGAACGTGAAAAGACCAAAGAACACGGTTTGATTTGGCTTTTACCACAGAGAGACCGGAGAGAGACCGGATAGAGACCGGAGAGAGATCAGAGAGAGACCGGAGAGAGACCAGAGAGAGAGACCAGAGAGAGACCGGAGAGAGACCAGAGAGAGACCAGAGAGAGAGCAGAGAAAGAGCAGAGAGGGACCAGAGAGAGACCAGAGAGAGACCAGAGAGAGACCAGAGAGAGACCAGAGAGAGAGACCAGAGAGAGACCAGAGAGAGACCGGAGAGAGACCAGAGAGAGAGACCAGAGAGAGACCAGAGAGACCAGAGAGAGACCAGAGAGACCAGAAAGAGACCAGAGAGACCAGAGAGAGAGACCAGAGAGAGACCAGAGAGACCAGAGAGAGAGACCAGAGAGAGACCAGAGAGAGACCAGAGAGAGAGACCAGAGAGAGAGACCAGAGAGAGACCAGAGAGAGACCAGAGAGAGACCAGAGAGAGAGACCAGAGAGAGACCGGAGAGGGACCTGAGAGAGACCAGAGAGAGACCAGAGAGGGACCAGAGAGAGACCAGAGAGAGACCAGAGAGAGACCAGAGAGAGACCAGAGAGAGACCAGAGAGACCAGAGAGAGAGCAGAGAGAGAGACCAGAGAGAGACCAGAGAGAGACCAGAGAGAGACCAGAGAGAGAGACCAGAGAGAGACCGGAGAGGGACCAGAGAGAGACCAGAGAGAGACCAGAGAGAGACCAGAGAGAGACCAGAGAGAGACCAGAGAGAGACCAGAGAGAGAGACCAGAGAGAGACCAGAGAGAGACCAGAGAGAGACCAGAGAGAGAGACCAGAGAGAGACCAGAGAGACCAGAGAGAGACCAGAGAGAGACCAGAGAGAGAGACCAGAGAGAGACCGGAGAGGGACCAGAGAGAGACCAGAGAGAGAGACCAGAGAGAGACCAGAGAGACCAGAGAGAGACCAGAGAGAGACCAGAGAGAGAGACCAGAGAGAGACCGGAGAGGGACCAGAGAGAGACCAGAGAGAGACCAGAGAGGGACCAGAGAGAGACCAGAGAGAGAGACCAGAGAGAAAGACCAGAGAGAGAGACCAGAGAGACCAGATAGAGAGACCAGAGAGACCAGAGAGAGAGACCAGAGAGACCAGAGAGAGACCAGAGAGAGACCAGAGAGGGACCAGAGAGAGACCAGAGAGAGAGACCAGAGAGAGAGACCAGAGAGACCAGAGAGAGAGACCAGAGAGAGAGACCAGAAAGACCAGAGAGACCAGAGAGAGACCAGAGAGAGAGACCAGAAAGAGCCTCAAAAAAAGGCTCCTTTCCTCCTGGTTCATAATTTTATGTATTCATTGATTTTTATATAATATGATTTATTTATTGTTTATCAACATTGGAAACGCAACATTTAATTATAAAATACAGATTTAGATAAAGTCATGATTTGTTTTTTTATTTATGTATTAATTGCTCATGGCCAACTTACTTTATGTGGGAATTGTGTCCTATGGTATGAGCACAAGTACAAGTCTATGGTCTCGGCACCGGTCTGGTATCGGCACCGGTCTGGTCTCGGCACCGGTCTGGTCTCGGCACCGGTCTGGTATCGGCACCGGTCTGGTATCGGCACCGGTCTGGTCTCGGCACCGGTCTGGTCTCGGCACCGGTCTGGTATCGGCACTGGTATGGTCTCGGCACCGGTCTGGTCTCGGCACCGGTCTGGTCTCGGCACCGGTCTGGTATCGGCACTGGTATGGTCTCGGCACCGGTCTGGTCTCGGCACCGGTCTGGTTTCGGCACCGGTCTGGTCTCGGCACCGGTCTGGTTTCGGCACCGGTCTGGTATCGGCACCGGTCTGGTCTCGGCACCGGTCTGGTATCGGCACTGGTATGGTCTCGGCACCGGTCTGGTCTCGGCACCGGTCTGGTCTCGGCACCGGTCTGGTATCGGCACTGGTATGGTCTCGGCACCGGTCTGGTCTCGGCACCGGTCTGGTATCGGCACTGGTATGGTCTCGGCACCGGTCTGGTCTCGGCACCGGTCTGGTCTCGGCACCGGTCTGGTATCGGCACCGGTCTGGTCTCGGCACCGGTCTGGTATCGGCACTGGTATGGTCTCGGCACCGGTCTGGTCTCGGCACCGGTCTGGTATCGGCACTGGTATGGTCTCGGCACCGGTCTGGTCTCGGCACCGGTCTGGTCTCGGCACCGGTCTCGTATCGGCACTGGTATGGTCTCGGCACCGGTCTGGTCTCGGCACCGGTCTGGTTTCGGCACCGGTCTGGTCTCGGCACCGGTCTGGTCTCGGCACCGGTCTGGTCTCGGCACCGGTCTGGTCTCGGCACTGGTATGGTTTCGGCACTGGTATGGTTTCGGCACTGGTATGGTTTCGGCACCGGTATGGTTTCGGCACCGGTCTGGTCTCGGCACCGGTCTGGTATCGGCACGGGTCTGGTCTCGGCACAGGTCTGGTCTCGGCACCGGTCTGGTATCGGCACAGGTCTGGTCTCGGCACCGGTCTGGTCTCGGCACCGGTCTGGTCTCGGCACTGGTATGGTTTCGGCACCGGTATGGTTTCGGCACCGGTCTGGTCTCGGCACCGGTCTGGTCTCGGCACCGGTCTGGTCTCGGCACCGGTCTGGTCTCGGCACCGGTCTGGTCTCGGCACCGGTCTGGTCTCGGCACCGGTCTGGTCTCGGCACCGGTCTGGTCTCGGCACCGGTCTGGTATCGGTGCATCCCGAGCTAGCATACATGGTACATACGTCTGGTGGCTGGCAGGACGTCGCGTCACGTTGCATACTCTGTACTTTCTCTTCATCTGCCCACAGTGCGTCACCTCCACCTTTAGACCTAAATCAAAACATTGTCATTTCCAACTTCCTGTTTCCGTTCCCGGCCTCTGTCCTGACGTCGTCTTCTTGTTCCTCACCTTTGATTTCCTTGGTGAAGCGCACTCGTTGGGAGTCGGTGAGAGTTTTCGGCTGCTCGTCGATGTTGCGGATGTCCAAAACCTCACACATGAACTCGATGACAGGCTGAGCTTTGTAGAAGGCCGTAGCGGACACTAGAGGGAGACAGAGAGCACAGGGTTATCTCCTGACGCAAACAAGCAGCAGTGAAACTCAAACATACTCTTCAGACTGTTTACAAAAAGTGGAAATGTATTCACAGACCTGGTTTTAAGACATAAAAATACACACATTTACAGATTTATATATGATTAATCACTCAGATCCAAATACACAGATTACACAGTACAATTATTTACAATACAATATTTAAGTGATTGTCAGAAAAAAGATACATGAGTCGGAAAAAACTACCCAAGCTCCGCCCCCTTCCTTTCTTATTGGTCTACGCCTACGTTTCCATGACAATCAATCAACACAATTATTTGTTAATCTGAGACAATAATAATGTTTTAATGCACTAAAAAGCGATCGCGGTACAGGGTTCAGTATATAATGATTATGGATATAGGTTCAGCATCAACGCCGATGATTGACAGCCCTTGGCATCACCTGATTGGTTAACGTGGACACCATCGTGGATTCTGAGCTATAGCTAAGAGAAGGGAAGGCGGGACTTACTGTAATATTATAACTCTTATTGAATGACTTATTTTATATCAACATTTTAGGCCAGGTGGTCAATTTAATACAGTTCTTAAAATGTGTAATTCATTTAGAGTTACAGACTGTCACTTTAAGAATCTTGGTTCCTTTTGAGTCATTGTTTAACTTTGATTTTAAACTCACTCAGGTTTGTTGGAGATTTCAGTTTGAGGTAAAGTTTCTCACCGTCGATGTTGAGCATCATTTTCCACATGGCGGGACGGACCGACTGATGGAACCCGAACCACACCTCGCGGCCTCCTCCCAGCGGGTGGTAGTATCCCTCGGGGGGAGAGAAGAAGGACCGCCCCACAGGAGTGTACCTTTAAGACCAGAGAACCCACACATTATGGTCTAGACTTGTTTGGGCTGAAGTTGTTCCTCTGATGCAGGAGGCTCTAAAGACAAACAGGATCCAGGACACAACCATGGGTCTATTTTAACATCTGGATAGGGTATTAATAGTTTGGAACTGAAGAACCATGTGCTCGGGGGATTCTTGCCGTACTGCAGACTAAACCAGACTAAACCAGACTAAATTCACGTGGGCTACACAGAAATTTTCCCCAACTCAATGTAAAGTAAAACAGCTCGACCTCAGCTGACAGAGAACCTGACAGAGAACCTACAGAGAACCTGACAGAGAACCTGAAAGAGAACCAGACAGAGAACCTACAGAGAACCTGACAGAGAACCTGAAAGAGAACCAGACAGAGAACCTGACAGAGAACCTACAGAGAACCTGACAGAGAACCTACAGAGAACCAGACAGAGAACCTGACGGAGAACCTACAGAGAACCTGACAGAGAACCTACAGAGAACCTGACAGAGAACCTGACAGAGAACCAGACAGAGAACCTGACAGAGAACCTACAGAGAACCAGACAGAGAACCTGACAGAGAACCTACAGAGAACCTGACAGAGAACCTACAGAGAACCTGACAGAGAACCTGACAGAGAACCTACAGAGAACCTGACAGAGAACCTACAGAGAACCTGACAGAGAACCTGACAGAGAACCTGACAGAGAACATGACAGAGAACATGACAGAGAACCTACAGAGAACCTGACAGAGAACCTGACAGAAAACCTACAGAGAACATGACAGAGAACATGACAGAGAACCTACAGAGAACCTTCAGAGAACCTGACAGAGAACGACAGAGAACCTGACAGAGAACCTACAGAGAACCTGACAGAGAACCTACAGAGAACCTGACAGAGAACCTGACAGAGAACCTACAGAGAACCTGACAGATAACCTACAGAGAACCTGACAGAGAACCAGACAGAGAACCTAACAGACAACCTGATAGAGAACCTGACGGAGAACCAGACAGAGAACCTGACAGAGAACCTGACAGAGAACCTGACAGAGAACCAGACAGAGAACCTGACAGAGAACCTGACAGAGAACCTGACGGAGAACCAGACAGAGAACCTGACAGAGAACCTGACAGAGAACCAGACAGAGAACCTAACAGAGAACCTGACAGAGAACCTGACGGAGAACCAGACAGAGAACCTGACAGAGAACCTACAGAGAACCTGACAGAGAACCTGACAGAGAACCTACAGAGAACCTGACAGAGAACCTACAGAGAACCTGACAGAGAACCAGACAGAGAACCTGACAGAGAACCAGACAGAGAACCTGACAGAGAACATGACAGAGAACCTGACAGAGAACCTACAGAGAACCTGACAGAGAACATGACAGAGAACCTGACAGTGAACCTGACAGAGAACCTAACAGAGAACCTGACAGAGAACCTGACGGAGAACCAGACAGAGAACCAGACAGAGAACCAGACAGAGAACCTGACAGAGAACCAGACAGAGAACCTGACAGAGAACCTGACAGAGAACCTGAACGGCCGAGCCCCTCTGTGCACGTGCATGAGACCCGCACACACGTATTTGGCGCAAAGCATCATGGGAGTTCATCCACTGCCCAGAACCGGGAGGACCAGACGATGCCCAAAGACAGCGAGTGATATGGCGAGTTCCGCGACCACGCCGACACAAGCGCCACTGAGCACAAACCATTCATTTGAATACGGCGCCATCTTGGATCGCCGGGGCTTGAACACAACACATTCAACCACATTTATAAACTTTGGTCTCTGCTCCTTATGGACCAACGGCTCTGAGTGTTTTCACCAGAGCATTTGATTTTCTGATCTGTTGTTGGAGAATCCACAGTTTTGTAAAGTCCTCCGAGACCAACTGCTGCTGTGATTTAGGGCGATACAAAATAAAAATAATTGAACTTATATATAGAGAGGGCCTTAAAGCTGCACTAACTAACTTTATTTTCGTATTCATTACAAAAATGCTTTCCATGTCCATGTAGTGCATTGGGATATACGTCCTTTTGAAGAATAATTAGCGCAGATTTGTGCTGGCGTGACATTATATTTTAGATCGAGTTTTGATGAAACAAGGAAGAGAATGTGTTTCGGGTCTCTGATTGTGACCAATCACAACGGACCAATAGCCCCCACTTTTGTGAGAAATCTACAGGTCCGTTAGCATAGACGGCTGAGTTAGCACAACAAGCCGAGGAGCTAACCTGAAGCTTCGTGTCTTCGTCACCGGTTACTGCTTACACAGCGAGACAGCCAAAAGAAAGTCTCGTTCCTCCGCGCTTCCCGGTTCTATCGTTTTATGGTCACGCCATCCACGTGCAAATCCATATCCATGTATTATCCATATTGGGAGACGCTAGCTCCGTCCCAACAGTGAGTGTGTGTGGGGGGCGATAGCTTCGTGGGTGCGGGGAGGGGAGCAGAAAGAGAGAGGCCAGCGGGTCCACGGCTTCAAAATCCCAAAGTCACTTAGTGCAGCTTTAAGTAACTGTAGCAGCCACAAACCAGGCCCTTGGGATTAGATCAGACTCAGAATTATCTCTATTGTAAGAAACAGGAATTTGTAAAACCTTTTTGCACCAGGAGTCAATTGTTGTTAAAATAAAGATTGTGTCATATGTTTATGTTTTGCTGCAGACAAAACATTGTTTTGTCTTTGTTGCTCCTGTTTCTTCCTGTTTCCTCTGATTGACATTTTAGCCGACCAATCAAATGAGACCAAACATGACTCAAATGAGAAACTCGGGTCAGAGAGTCAGACCCTCACATGTTTGGAAATCACATCATTATTCTCTCTCTCCAAACACAGGTGATAAACTACTGTAGCCACAGCTGCCCTGGGGCACACTGACAGAAGCGAGGCAACCAGTCTATGCCATCGGCCCCTCCCACCACCACCAACCATTCACACACACACCAGACTCATTCTAATGTGGGGGAAGTGTCTTGCCTAAGCCAAGCAACTAAAACGGCGTACTTCCACTTACGGAACATCGCTAAAATTAGGAATTTCCTTCCTAAAAGTGACGCGGAAAAACTCATTCACGCGTTTGTCACCTCAAGGCTCGACTACTGTAACGCTTTACTGGCAGCGTGCCCTAAAGCCTCTTTGAAGAGCTTCCAGCTCGTTCAGAATACAGCAGCTAGGATCTTAACAGGTACCAAAAGGAGGGAGCACATAACTCCGGTGTTAAAATCACTCCACTGGCTCCCTGTGGAGTACAGAATAAAGTTTAAAATCCTACTCTTAACATATAAAGCCATAAATGGCTTGGCTCCTTCTTATCTCCAAGACACGTTAGTGTCGTATCAACCAAGTCGAGCGTTGCGCTCACAAAACGCCAGACGTCTGGTGGTCCCTAAGGTCTCAAAGGTCACTGTTGGTGGCAGAGCATTTAGCTCCAAGCTCCTTTACTGTGGAATCAGCTTCATTTATGTTAAGGAAGCAGATACGCTCTCCACATTCAAGGCCAGGCTTAAAGCACTTTACTTTAATTTAGCATATAATTAGGTAATATATAATATGTAGTGTATATAATATATATATATGCTGTATTATGTTATATATTATACAATATATGTATTATGTTATGTATTGTGTTATGTTGTATATTATGCTGTATTATGTTATATATTATGTTATATATTATACAATAATGTATTGTGTTATGTTGTATATTATGTTATATATTATGCTGTATGTTATGTTGTGTATTATATATGATATATATCGTATGTATGGTATATATGATGTATATGATATATAATATATAATTAGGTTTGCTTGGATCGGTTTGCACACCTGGTGTGCAATCCATGAATCTCTTTATTCAAGGCTAGGTTTAAAACAGTCCTCTTTAGTTTAGCATATGGCTAGGAAGGTAAGACTCGGGGAAGGCTAAACTCCTCAGACTGTCAGTCAAGCTGCATAGGGAGCCCCCTGCTGGAGAAGTATGGTAACTTGAGCACTATCCTCTCCTCCTTCCTACTTTATCTGTTTAGCATTTTTAGGATTCTGACTGTAGTTTGTTCATTGCTATTCACCCGTTGTCCCATTGTCTGTTTCATGGTACGATGACGGGATCTCTGAGCCTGGCCTCCTCCATCTACACCTGCGGACTGCCCCGCCCGACCCGCCTGGGAGTGCTTCAGTCCTGCACCGGACCTGTCCACGTTCAGCGGCCACTGGTCCACGTTCTGTAGCTAGCTTAGGTCCTAGATCATTAGCCTGTCCGTCCGGAGGAGCGGATCCCTTTCTCATATGGGTCTCCCTCCCTGTGGGTTTCCCTAGTTCTCCTCCAAGGTTTCTCACTTTTTCCCACTGGGTTTTTTAAGAGTTGTTCCTTGTCGATGCAGGAGGGTCTTGTTGGACAGTTAGTGTCCAACAGAAAGGATTGGTGATGATCAGGACACTTTAGCATTCTACAACATGTATGGACATTTTCTTCTGTGTGTGCTTTATATTCTTCATGTGTTTTAACTGTTGATTCTCTGACCTGTGTTGGTGATTTCAATGGTTTTGTTAAGTCTCTGAGATGACTTCTGTTGTGACCTAGGGCTATACAAGAATAAATTGTATTGTATTGTAAGGACACAACCACAGTTTGGCACTTTACAGCCACAACCGACTCCACTGAGGTCTCCCATCATAGTACTAACCAGGCCCAGCCCTGCTTAGCTTCAGAGGTCTGACAGGATCTGGTTTTCACCTGCAGATGGCCCCTAACCCTACTGTGTTTCAGAAGGGGGTTTTCTGATCCCTGAGACACTGAAGTTCTTCCTGTTTGTTTCGCTCCTACATTGTCTGAGCGTTTCTCACCGGAGGCAGAAGAACATGATCTTTTCCAAACTCTGACACAGAAAACAGTCTGTTTGAGGTCAAACGACTGAGCCTCATCCAGACCAGAGCGAGTTACTCAGTTACTCAAGCCCCGGGATCCAAGATGGCGCCTGTCCAAGTCAGTGGCTTGTGCTCAGGGACCGAGAGAGTGGAACTCGTCCATATTTGGGCATCGTCTGGTCCTCCCTTTTCTGTGCAGTGGACGAGCTCCCATGATGCTTTGCACCAAAAATGTGTGTGTGTCTCTCATGCATGTGCACAGAGAACAGCGTTCTGACCAATCAGAGGGCAGAGTTCTGACCAATCAGAGGGCAGAGTTCTGACCAATCAGAGGGCAACGTTCTGACCAATCAGAGGGAAGAGTTCTGACCAATCAGAGGGCAACGTTCTGACCAATCAGAGACACACATCATGGGACACTAAAATCCACAGAATCCTCCTTTATGAAAGCTGTAGGTTCTCTGTCAGGTTCTCTGTCAGGTTCTCTGTCAGGTTCTCTGTCAGGTTCTCTGTCAGGTTCTCTGTCAGGTTCTCTGTCAGGTTCTCTGTCAGGTTCTCTGTCAGGTTCTCGGTTAGGTTCTATGTCAGGTTCTCTGTCAGGTTCTCTGTCAGGTTCTATGTCAGGTTCTATGTCAGGTTCTCTGTCAGGTTCTCTGTCAGGTTCTCTGTCAAGTTCTCTGTCAAGTTCTCTGTCAGGTTCTCTGTCGGGTTCTCTGTCAGGTTCTCTGTCAGGTTCTCTGTCAGGTTCTCTGTCAGGTTCTCTGTCAGGTTCTCTGTCAGGTTCCCGGTCAGGTTCTCGGTCAGGTTCTCGGTCAAGTTCTCTGTCAAGTTCTCTGTCAGGTTCTCTGTCGGGTTCTCTGTCAGGTTCTCTGTCAGGTTCTCTGTCAGGTTCTCTGTCAGGTTCTCTGTCAGGTTCTCTGTCAGGTTCCCGGTCAGGTTCTCGGTCAGGTTCTCTGTCAGGTTCTCTGTCAGGTTCTCGGTCAGGTTCTATGTCAGGTTCTCTGTCAGGTTCTCTGTCAGGTTCTCTGTCAGGTTCTCGGTCAGGTTCTATGTCAGGTTCTCTGTCAGGTTCTCTGTCAGGTTCTCGGTCAGGTTCTATGTCAAGTTCTCTGTCAGGTTCTCTATCAGGTTCTATGTCAAGTTCTCTGTCAGGTTCTCTGTCAGGTTCTCGGTCAGGTTCTCGGTCAGGTTCTATGTCAGGTTCTCTGTCAGGTTCTCTGTCAAGTTCTCTGTCAGGTTCTCTGTCAGGTTCTCTGTCAGGTTCTCGGTCAGGTTCTCTGTCAGGTTCTCGGTCAGCTGAGGTTAAGCTGTTTCTATGGTCATGTAGTCTGCAGTACCACAGCGCCTCCTGTGGCCATGGGAGGCACAGCTATCATCTAGTAGTACTCTATCCAGCTATTATAAGAGCCCCATGGTATTATAACAGCCCCATGGTATTATAATAGCTCCATGGTATTATAACAGCCCCATGGTATTATAACAGCCCCATGGTACTATAACAGCCCCATGGTACTATAACAGCCCCATGGTACTATAACAGCCCCATGGTACTATAACAGCCACATGGTACCCCTCACATGGTACCCCTCACATGGTATCACCCCTTACATTACCTCATAGAGGCCAGGTGGCGCATGGCGACGTCCAGAGCTTGAACGGAGTCGAGGGGGACCTGAAGTCGCCCACTGACCAGAGTCTCTTGCAGGAGGCGCCATGACACTTTGGCGAGCCACCGGATGGACACCTTGAAGATTCTGTCTTTTCCCTCGCCCGGAATGGTCACCTCAAAGTCCACCTGGAGGAGGACGAGAGGGAAAGACAGAGTAAAACATACAGAATACAGCAGACAGGTGTTTCTACGACGGTGTCCAGTCAACTGCATACGGTCTCCCCCAGTTAAATGAATGAGCGTCACTGACAAAGAAGGTCGGGGTGTGTCCCGTGTTGGTTCAATCCAAGAAAGAATTTAGAATTTTTGGATCCAACACAGTTTACACAAAGATAACATTGGGTATCTTCAGGTTCCCTCTCCTCCTCTTCTGTAAACGGGTTACAGTCCGGTCTTCAGGTTTGGCACAGTCCTTTTGACTGTGCCAAACCTGTGCCCTTTTGGCACCTGCCCTGAGGCGACTGCCGCACTCACCTTCTCACTCCCTGCAGCCGCACCTGCCCTGAGGCACCTGCCCTGAGGCACCTGCCCTGAGGCACCTGCCCTGAGGCACCTGCCCTGAGGCACTTGCCCTGAGGCGACTGCCGCACTCACCTTCTCACTCCCTGCAGCCGCACCTGCCCTGAGGCGACTCACCTTCTCACTCCCGATGGGAAGTGCTAGCACCGTGTAGATGTTCTTCTTTCCGTCGTAAACTGGCTTCCTGTCTCCAAAGAGCTGCGGCTTGAAGTGTTGCACCATGTATTCCACCACCTCCCTGTGAGAGAGAGAGGGGGGTGGAGAGGGGGGAGAGGGGAGAGGGAGGGGGGGAGAGACAGAGAGAGAGAGAGGAGGAGAGAGAGAGGGAGGGAGGGTGAGAGGAAGGGGAGAGGAAGGGGAGAGAGGGGGGGGGGGGAGGGTGAGGGAGAGGGAGAAAGAGAGAAAGGGGGAGAGAGAGGCGAGAAGGAGAGGAGAAAGAGGGGGAGAGGGAGACAGAGGGAGAGAGCAAGAGAGAGAGCGCGAAAGAGGGAGGAGAGCGAGAGAGAGAGAGAGAGAGAGGGGAGACAGAGAGAGAGGGTAGGGAGGGGGATAGAGATAGACAGAGAGAGGACACAGAGAGAGAGAGGGAGGGGGAGAGAGGGAGAGACGCAACTTTTAACAAGTTTGAAACACTCAAAGACAAACCGATCACTTCCTTTGTGGCTGATCGATGGTTCTGCTGCTGGTGCTATATTTCATGGTCATGTGGGAGAAGGACCATGGGGGGGGGGGGGGGGTGCCTTGGCCTTCACTCCAGGGTGGGGGATGAGTGGGACTAGAATGAGACCGGGTCAAAAGGTGGTGATCTGTGAAAGCCTTTGTTAGATCGGCACAGAGCGGCAAAGACAGAGGAGCTCGGGTTATTTATGGAACGCACAAATGTGTGTGTTTTAAATTAGTTATTATCGGTTTGAAACGGTGAGGTCTGGGTTTGTAAACTGTGGAGCGAGAGAGCAGCAGGACTGAGACGAGAGAGCAGCAGGACTGAGACGAGAGAGCAGCAGGACAGAGACGAGAGAGCAGCAGGACTGAGACGAGAGAGCAGCAGGACAGAGACGAGAGAGCAGCAGGACTGAGACGAGAGAGCAGCAGGACAGAGACGAGAGAGCAGCAGGACTGAGACGAGAGAGCAGCAGGACTGAGACGAGAGAGCAGCAAGACTGAGACGAGAGAGCAGCAAGACTGAGACGAGAGAGCAGCAGGACTGAGACGAGAGAGCAGCAGGACTGAGACGAGAGAGCAGCAGGACTGAGACGAGAGAGCAGCAAGACCGAGACGAGAGAGCAGCAAGACTGAGATGAGAGAGCAGCAAGACTGAGACGAGAGAGCAGCAGGACTGAGACGAGAGAGCAGCAAGACCGAGACGAGAGAGCAGCAAGACCGAGACGAGAGAGCAGCAGGACAGAGACGAGAGAGCAGCAGGACCGAGACGAGAGAGCAGCAGGACTAAGACGAGAGAGCAGCAAGACTGAGACGAGAGAGCAGCAGGACTGAGACGAGAGAGCAGCAGGATTAAGACGAGAGAGAAGCAGGACTGAGACGAGGGAGCAGCAAGACTGAGACGAGAGAGCAGCAGGACTGAGACGAGAGAGCAGCAGGACTAAGACGAGAGAGCAGCAAGACCGAGACGAGAGAGCAGCAGGACCGAGACGAGAGAGCAGCAAGACTGAGACGAGAGAGCAGCAGGACTAAGACGAGAGAGCAGCAAGACTGAGACGAGAGAGCAGCAGGACTGAGACGAGAGAGCAGCAAGACTGAGACGAGAGAGCAGCAAGACTGAGACGAGAGAGCAGCAGGACCGAGACGAGAGAGCAGCAGGACAGAGACGAGAGAGCAGCAGAACTGAGACGAGAGAGCAGCAAGACTGAGACGAGAGAGCAGCAAGACTGAGACGAGAGAGCAGCAGGACCGAGACGAGAGAGCAGCAGGACTAAGACGAGAGAGCAGCAGGACTAAGACGAGAGAGCAGCAAGACTGAGACGAGAGAGCAGCAGGACCGAGACGAGAGAGCAGCAAGACTGAGACGAGAGAGCAGCAGGACTAAGACGAGAGAGCAGCAAGACTGAGACGAGAGAGCAGCAGGACTGAGACGAGAGAGCAGCAAGACTGAGACGAGAGAGCAGCAGGACCGAGACGAGAGAGCAGCAGGACCGAGACGAGGGAGAGGAGCAGGACTGAGACGAGAGAGCAGCAGGACTAAGACGAGAGAGCAGCAGGACTGAGACGAGAGAGCAGCAGGACTGAGACGAGAGAGCAGCAGGACCGAGATGAGAGAGGAGCAGGACTGAGACGAGAGAGCAGCAGGGCTAAGACGAGAGAGCAGCAGGACTGAGACGAGAGAGCAGCAGGACTAAGACGAGAGAGCAGCAGGACTAAGACGAGAGAGCAGCAGGACTGAGACGAGAGAGCAGCAGGGCTCAGACGAGAGAGCAGCAGGACTGAGACGAGAGAGCAGCAGGACTAAGACGAGAGAGCAGCAGGACTGAGACGAGAGAGCAGCAGGACTGAGACGAGAGAGCAGCAGGACTGAGACGAGAGAGCAGCAGGACTGAGACGAGAGAGCAGCAGGACTGAGACGAGAGAGCAGCAGGACTGAGACGAGAGAGCAGCAGGACTGAGACGAGAGAGCAGCAAGACTGAGACGAGAGAGCAGCAGGACTGAGACGAGAGAGCAGCAGGACTGAGACGAGAGAGCAGCAGGACTGAGACGAGAGAGCAGCAAGACTGAGACGAGAGAGCAGCAGGACCGAGACGAGACCGAGGACAGTGAGGAAAGTCAATTAGCTCTTTGTGTTTTCAGTTAGAGGAAAACAATACGTCTAATGTTCACACCAGCGGCTGGGATGGGAAAGCTCTCTCCAGGTCCTAGTCCTTCTCCTGGTCCTCTCCTGGTTCTGGTCCTCTCCAGGTCCTGGTCCTCTCCTGGTCCTGGTCCTCTCCTTGTCCTCTCCAGGTCCTGGTCCTCTCCAGGTCCTGGTCCTCTCCAGGTCCTGGTCCTCTCCTGGTCCTGGTCCTCTCCTGGTCCTGGTCCTCTCCTGGTCCTCTCCAGGTCCTGGTCCTCTCCAGGTCCTGGTCCTCTCCTGGTCCTGGTCCTCTCCAGGTCCTGGTCCTCTCCTGGTCCTGGTCCTCTCCAGGTCCTGGTCCTCTCCAGGTCCTGGTCCTCTCCTGGTCCTGGTCCTCTCCTGGTGGTCCTCTCCTGGTCCTGGTCCTCTCCAGGTCCTGGTCCTCTCCTGGTCCTGGTCCTCTCCTGGTCCTGGTCCTCTCCTGGTCCTGGTCCTCTCCAGGTCCTGGTCCTCTCCAGGTCCTGGTCCTCTCCAGGTCTTGGTCCTCTCCTGGTCCTGGTCCACTCCAGGTCCTGGTCCTCTCCTGGTCCTGGTCCTCTCCTGGTCCTGGTCCTCTCCAGGTCCTGGTCCTCTCCTGGTCCTGGTCCTCTCCTGGTTCTGGTCCTCTCCAGGTGGAGCAGTCCTTCCTCAAGTGGAGGAGTTCAAGTATCTCGGGGTCTTGTTCACGAGTGAGGGAAGGATGGAGCGTGAGATTGACAGGCGGATCGGTGCAGCGTGCGCAGTGATGCGGTCGCTGTATCAAACCATTGTGGTAAAGAGGGAGCAGCGTCTGCAGTCAGAGCTCCCCTCCCTCACCTATGGTCATGAGCTTTGGGTAATGACCAGAAGAACGAGATCGCGGATACAAGCGTCGAAATGAGCTTCCTCCGCAGAGTGGCTGCTCCCTTAGAGATAGGGTGAGGAGCTCAGTAACACGGGAGGAGCTCGGAGTAGAGCCCCTGCTCCCTTAGAAATAGAGGAGTTCAGTCACACGGGAGGAGCTCGGAGTAGAGCCGCTGCTTCTCCACGTCGAGAGGAACCAGTTGAGGTGGTTCATCTGCTGGGGAGGTGTTCTGGGCACGTCCCACCGGGAGGAGGCCCCGGGGAAGACCCAGGACACAGAGGGACTATGTCTCTCAGCTGGCCTGGGAACGCCTTGGGGTCCCCCCGGACGAGCTGGAGGAAGTGTGTGAGAGGGAAGTCTGGGCGTCTCTGCCGCGGCCCGGCAACAGATGAAGCGGAAGAAAATGGGTGGATGGATGGAATATGTCTAATCTGTCATCATTAAAGGGCCCTAATCTGTCATCATTAAAGGGCCCTAATCTGTCATCATTAAAGGGCCCTAATCTGTCATCATTAAAGGGCCCTAATCTGTCATCATTAAAGGGCCCTAATCTGTCATCATTAAAGGGCCCTAATTTGTCATCATTAAAGGGCCCTAATCTGACATCATTAAAGGGCCCTAATCTGTCATCATTAAAGGGCCCTAATCTGACATCATTAAAGGGCCCTAATCTGTCATCCTTAAAGGGCCCTAATTTGTCATCATTAAAGGGCCCTAATCTGTCATCATTATAGGGCCCTAATCTGTCATAATTAAAGGGCCCTAATCTGTCGTCATTAAAGGGCCCTAATCTGTCATAATAATAAACTGTTCTTTTCCAATACTTCTTTAACTGATAACAGTCGTTCAGAGATATTTGAATTTCTAAATTACTTTTCCAGCCTCTAAATCTTGTTATTGTTTTCATTTCGATGTCCCGCCCTCCACCGTTTCACCAATCAGAAAGTCTGTGATCCGGGCGCCAGAACTCACCGCGTGGAGCTAATCTCACTGGTAAAGTACCATGTGGAGCTAATCTCACTGGTAAAGTACCATGTGGAGCTAATCTCACTGGTAAAGTACCATGTGGAGCTAATGTCACTGGTAAAGTACCATGTGGAGCTAATCTCACTGGTAAAGTACCATGTGGCGCAGAACTAAAAAAGGTCTCGTTATGATTCTCAAATCATTAACGACAAAACAAGGAATAAAACCAGGATTTCTATCTTTGTGAAAAAGGTGTTGGTTATAGATTTGTTGTTGACTAAACTCGTGTCTATTCAGCTGTTATGGTCCCAGCAGTTGTTATGACTCGTGCTGGTCCCACAGAGGCCTGACTCACCTGTTGACTCGTCGCGGGCACTTGTCAGGTTTGATGTCCACCTCGTAGTGGTAAACATCCATCTTTGGGATCTCGACCTCGAAGTAGTTGGCCAGCAGCTTGATGGGCTTGCCCACGGTGCCCATGCCCGGCCTGCGGGGGGCATGGAACACCTGCTGCAGGGGCGGGGGGAAGGCCCCCATGGGCACTGAACACAACACACAGAAGAAAGTAAGAAGTCGTTAAAAAACATTCATATAAAAGAGAGAAGTGTAAAACCAACAGCGACAGTGTTGACTCAGTAACAAACATTTCGAACCTTTCAGAGCCTGAATCTGCAAAACTCATTTGTCGGGATAAAGTCTTGAATTTATTTTTGATGTCTGTAAAAAGTCTGTAACACAACATGCTAGCTAGCTTAAAGCAGCTAACGAGATGATACACACAACATACACGACCATTGAAGATGCAGTGAGCGATTTCGTTAGCTTAGCCGTAGCACCGACTGAACACTTGTAGACTGTAGACATCTGCTCAAGTCCATTACGCTTTGAAAACACATGATAACTTGATACTTTTAGGATTTAGGGACATTTTCCCACAATATTTAAAACAATGTGTCTGGAAAGAATCACTGACTGCATCTTTAAAGCTGAGAATGCACACAATTATTAAGGCCGCACTGTTTCTAACTGTTTTATTGTTTTAATACATAAATGTTTGAATGGATTTTGTGTAATTTCATTGTGAAGGGTCAGGGTTAGCGTTTTGGTCGCCTCGAGTGTTGTAAATTGATTGAAAAGTCTCATGTAAGAGTTTTTGCACCGCGCACTAAAGTCAATGTATAAAGTTTAAAACAGATATATTTGGGATTTCATGGGAATTATAAAAATGTATATGACATATTTAGTTAGATTAAACGGCCCCGACACCAGCTTTGAACATCTCATAGTTCATTCTTTAATCCATAAATGTATAAATGTATAAAGTCAAGTGAAACCCAAACACAGCGTCCACCTGTGATCAGAAAAACAACCATTCTCCTGCGAAAGACTCCGAAGGATCTGAAAACTACAGCTGAGAACGGGACTCTGTTCATGGAGAACATAAATCTACACTCAACACCTGGGACTGTTCCAATCCACTTTATCTATATAGCACATTTCATAAACGAGCAGTTTCTAAAGTGCTGCACAACAAGCTAAAAATGGCAACAAATAAAATACACACATACAGTATATAAAAATCAATTAAAAATGAAAATAAAATAAAAACACAGAGGACCACACGACTAGGACCACCGTGTTAAAAGCCAGAGAACAACAGTGTGTTTTAAGACCAGACTTAAAACATTCCAACAAGGAGCTGTTGTGACGTGGGCAGGGGGGGGGGGGGGCTGCTTTGGTCCAGACTATAGACTGCTTTGGTCCAGACCATAGACTGTAAATATTAATGGACGTAGTCACACCTGTCTACGCTGTTCTAACTAATGTGCCACAACAACAGCGGTCTATGGGCAGTTTCAAAATGGCCGCGGGGGCTGGAAAATGTGAGAAAACACATCTGTGCATGCGTCAGCTGCACGAGCTCCATTCATTTAAATGAGAGACTTCTAAAGTCCACAGCGACTAAACTAGACTGGTCCAGAACACTCAGCATTGACACACATGTGGAACGGAGCTTTGGGCCAAGAGACAACTTTTGGTCCATCCTGTAAAGACGTTTCCAGAGGTAAGAAGATGCTATACGTTAAGATAAGATAAACCTTTATTAGTCTCACAGTGGAGAAATGTCAGTGTCATCGTTGCACATTACAGCAGAGAGAGGAAATCAGACTCAGACGCACACATCAAAGTCTATTATTTAAGATAATAGACAATAAATTTAAGATAAAATAAAATAAAATAAGAAACTCTGGGCTATAATTGCACTTGGTTCGGAGTATTTACAGATGTCTATATTATACATTAGCAGCGGAGAATATGAGAATGTGAGCAGAATAAACATTGGCTAATTCTTCTTCTGGGTCCACCCCCACAGGCCCCCACTGGTCCAGCCACAGAGAAGGCCCTGTCTCCCCACGTTTTAAGTCTGGTCTTAGGCACCCCAAGCTGGAGCTGGCCCTCGGACCTAAGCATGGGGCGGTGGTGAATTTGGATGAGGTCCGAGATGTGAGGAGGGGCCAGTCCGTTCAAAGCTTTAAAAACAAACAATAAAATCTTAATATCGATTATAAAATGAACAGGAAGTGCAAGGACGCAAGAACAGGAGTGATCAAAAACACAAACAGGTCGTTAAGAAAACTCGTCAGAGTCTTTACTTTCTGTGAAAACTTTACCACTTTTTACCACTAACTAAGATTCTGCTCAAATGTTATCGCTGCACCATTGAAAGTTTGCTTTTTTGGTTCTGTGACTGTGTGGTTTGGTAACATCACAGAGACCAGAGAGAGACCAGAGAGAGACCAGAGAGAGAGACCAGAGAGAGACCAGAGAGCCCAGAGAGAGACCAGAGAGAGACCAGAGAGCCCAGAGAGAGACCAGAGAGAGACCAGAGAGAGACCGGAGAGAGACCAGAGAGAGACCAGAGAGAGGCCAGAGAGAGACCAGAGAGAGACCAGAGAGAGACCAGAGAGAGAGACCAGAGAGAGACCAGAGAGAGACCAGAGAGCCCAGAGAGAGACCAGAGAGAGACCAGAGAGAGACCGGAGAGAGACCAGAGAGAGAGAGACTAGAGAGAGACCAGAGAGAGACCAGAGAGAGACCAGAGAGAGACCAGAGAGAGAGAGACTAGAGAGAGACCAGAGAGAGACAGAGAGAGAGACCAGAGAGAGACCAGAGAGAGACCAGAGAGAGAGAGAGACTAGAGAGAGACCAGAGAGAGACCAGAGAGAGAGAGACTAAGAGAGAGAGACCAGAGAGAGACCAGAGAGAGAGAGAGACTAGAGAGAGACCAGAGAGAGACCAGAGAGAGACCAGAGAGAGAGAGACTAGAGAGAGACCAGAGAGAGACCAGAGAGAGACCAGAGAGAGACCAGAGAGAGACCAGAGAGAGACCAGAGAGAGAGACCAGAGAGAGACCAGAGAGAGACCAGAGAGAGAGACCAGAGAGAGAGAGACCAGAGAGAGACCAGAGAGAGACCAGAGAGAGACCAGCAGAGAGAGACCAGAGAGAGACCAGAGAGAGACCAGAGAGAGACCAGAGAGAGTCCAGAGAGAGACCAGAGAGAGTCCAGAGAGAGACCAGAGAGAGACCAGAGACACCAGAGAGAGACCAGAGAGAGACCAGAGAGAGGCCAGGGAGAGACCAGAGAGAGACCAGAGAGAGACCAGAGAGAGAGAGACTAGAGAGAGACCAGAGAGAGACCAGAGAGAGACCAGAGAGAGACCAGAGAGAGACCAGAGAGAGAGAGACTAGAGAGAGACCAGAGAGAGACCAGAGAGAGAGAGACTAGAGAGAGACCAGAGAGAGACCAGAGAGAGACCAGAGAGAGAGACCAGAGAGAGACCGAGAGAGACCAGAGAGAGAGAGACTAGAGAGAGACCAGAGAGAGACCAGAGAGAGACCAGAGAGAGAGACCAGAGAGAGACCAGAGAGAGACCAGAGAGAGTCCAGAGAGAGACCAGAGAGAGACCAGAGACAGACCAGAGAGAGACCAGAGAGAGACCAGAGAGAGACCAGGGAGAGACCAGAGAGAGACCAGAGAGAGAGACCAGAGAGAGACCAGAGAGAGACCAGAGAGAGAGACCAGAGAGAGACCAGAGAGAGACCAGAGAGAGTCCAGAGAGAGACCAGAGAGAGACCAGAGAGAGACCAGAAAGAGACCAGAGAGAGACCAGAGAGAGACCCAGAGAGAGACCAGAGAGAGACCAGAGAGAGAGAGACTAGAGAGAGACCAGAGAGAGACCAGAGAGAGACCAGAGAGAGACCAGAGAGAGACCAGAGAGAGAGAGACTAGAGAGAGACCAGAGAGAGACCAGAGAGAGACCAGAGAGAGACCAGAGAGAGACCAGAGAGAGAGACCAGAGAGAGACCAGAGAGAGACCAGAGAGAGACCAGAGAGAGTCCAGAGAGAGACCAGAGAGAGACCAGAGAGACACCAGAGAGAGACCAGAGAGAGACCAGGGAGAGACCAGAGAGAGACCAGAGAGAGAGACCAGAGAGAGACCAGAGAGAGACCAGAGAGAGACCAGAGAGAGGCCAGAGAGAGACCAGAGAGAGACCAGAGAGAGACCAGAGAGAGTCCAGAGAGAGACCAGAGAGAGAGACCAGAGAGAGACCAGAGAGAGTCCAGAGAGAGACCAGAGAGAGACCAGAGAGACCAGAGAGAGACCAGAGAGAGACCAGAGAGAGAGACCAGAGAGAGACCAGAGAGAGACCAGAGAGAGACCAGAGAGAGACCAGAGAGAGACCAGAGAGAGACCAGAGAGAGAGACCAGAGAGAGACCAGAGAGAGACCAGAGAGAGGCCAGAGAGACCAGAGAGAGAGACCAGAGAGAGACCAGAGAGAGTCCAGAGAGAGTCCAGAGAGAGACCAGAGAGAGACCAGAGAGAGACCAGAGAGAGACCAGAGAGAGGCCAGAGAGAGACCAGAGAGAGACCAGAGAGAGACCAGAGAGAGTCCAGAGAGAGACCAGAGAGAGACCAGAGAGAGACCAGAGAGAGACCAGAGAGAGGCCAGAGAGAGACCAGAGAGAGACCAGAGAGAGACCAGAGAGAGACCAGAAAAAGGCCAGAGAGAGACCAGAGAGAGACCAGAGAGAGACCAGAAAAAGGCCAGAGAGAGAGACCAGAGAGAGACCAGAAAGAGAGACCATGAGGACTGTGAACTTTTTGTTCTGGAGGTTCTTTTAAATCCAGACTTTAAAAACGATCTCTAAGAATTATCAATGACTCTTCTGTCCCCTGGAAAAGCCTTGTTCCAGCTTCTTCCCTCTGGCAGAAGACATTGTTCTTTGAGATGCAGGACATCTCGTTATGCTAACATGCTAACAGCTTATTTCCACAAACTGTTGTCAGTTTGAACAGAGCACTTTAAATGATCTTTGTACTGAAACTGTTTTAGTTGATCGATTTCACAGAGACAATAGTTTGCTGTAGTTTTATGTAAGTACTTGTCTTGTGCACACACTGGGGACTTTTGCAAATGTATTCCAATGTGGTTTTACTGCAAATGGCAAATAAATGAATCTGAATCTGCGCTTTTTGGTTCCTGTTCAAAGCCGTGTCGCAAACTTCTGGACTAACTGTAGCCGACTATTATTGAAAGAAAGTTTGTCAGGAGTCACATGTGGAAGAAGGTGTGACCAAAATGTATTTATTTTTGGGCTTAAAGGCAAAATGTGGGGAGGGGAGCTTCATGCTATGGGGCTGCTTTTCTTCAGCAGGGATAAGATAAGATAAACCTTTATTAGTCTCACAGGAGAAATGTCAGTGTCATCGTTGCACATTACAGCAGAGAGAGGAAATAAGAGCACTCAGACGCACACATCAATGTCTATTATTTAAGATAATAGACAATACATTTAAGATAAAATAAAATAAAATAAGATAAACTCTGGGCTATAATTGCACTTGGTTCGGAGTATTTACAGATGTCTATATTATACATTAGCAGCGGAGAATATGAGAATATGAGCAGAATAAACATGGACTAGGGCAAAAAAAGAATGGGAAAAGGAGAGATGGAATGAGCCAAATACAGAGAAACTTTGGAGGAGAACCTTCCGGAGTCTGAGGCAGAGATTATTTAGTATTTTACATTCCTATTGTTGTCATTTTATCTTATTCTGTTTTTTAATGTAATAAGTAATCACGTTGGAAACTAGCTTAGTGGCTATATCGGTCTCTGGTATAAACGTTTGCTAAAGTTATTGAACTAACTTGAAAATTAGCCAATCAGCAATGCTACAAATCCATCTTCAGTTCCAAATATGTAATGGTTTGGGTTAAATAATGAAATTAATTGTTAAAAATGTTGTGTTTAGGTTCAGGAAATGAAGACTAAGATGATTAATAAACATATATGCATTCTCTGGTCAATAAAAACAGATATGAGGCTGTAATCCCGTCGCTCTCTCTCCAATAACCAAACATCAGACCGGGATTAAACTGAAAATTGTCCACTATTTATTTAAAAGTGGTTAAAAAGTCCTGTTTGAGCTCCACTTATTTAGAAAAATCACATTCAAAAGATGCATTAATTGTAAATAGCCCTTTGTCCCTGCAACCGTTACTTTGTCTATCAACGCTAATGTGCTGCGTGAAATAAATCTCTCCGAAGCCGAAAGAGGCCCCGGTCTTTCGTCACACCGGCCGCTCTAAGTGGCTGTGGATGAAGACGGGGGTCTCCTGCAGCCCGGGGTACGGCGTGTGAGCTCCTGATGACTCCTGCCTGAGAGGGGCCCATGCCGTAACCTCTGGGTCCCTGGAGAACAGCCCTCCTCCAGCTCAACAAAGACCCCAGCTGCCCCACTGCTCCGGTCCCAGCCGCACACACACACGGACGCACACACACACACACACACACACACGGGGCCCCCCTCCCACATTCCCCGCCTCACCATGGAGACACCACGGCAACACGGTATTGTCATGGATATCAGGGAGTGGTTGTGTGTTGGGTTGTTGGTGGAGATGGGAGGAGGTAGACCTTGGCCCTTTCAGACTCAACTTTTTGCGTAACTTTCTAAGAATCGGACGATGGAACATGATCCAGGAGCTGCTGTGACGTCGCCAGGACTTGAGAATGTGTAGAAATATTGAAAGATATGAACATGCCATTGATTCATTAATCAGAACCAAACAGGTAAAGGTTTGGGTTAGCTCGGTCCGATCAGATGGAGGTAATGTTAGCCGCTAATACTGTGTCACTGAAATGGCTTTTTTTATCCAAAAGTGAATGATGTAATGTATAGAATATAAACGGACATTCAGACCTACACATGCACAAGTATAAATAAGTCAGCAGAAAATGAAAAAAAAGACTTTTGAACGCTGCAGAAATGAGGGAAAATGTGTGTTTGATTATGATGCTAACATGTTATTATTATTTAAGTATATAAGTGTAAGTATGTAGGGAAATATAAGTGCGTATGTTTTGAAAGAAAGTAGGTAAAAACAAATCAAACTAATAATATAAAGACTTTTATAGAGGAGGTGGGAATCAACAACTTTATCCCACTTCTTTTCAAGTTTCTGGTTGTACAGTTGTAAACTTTTTCATTGTTAACTTGAAATAAACTATAATAAAAATAAACTTAAGTATTGTAAAATATTTGAAGCAGAACTTTAACCGTTGTTCATAATACTTTATATTCCACAAAAGTTTCTGCAGTGAATAAGACTTGGGTCCAGCAAACATGAGGTGATAAAAGCTTGAATCTAGAGTTTTTACCTTCATCTGAGTTTATTCTGACTGCGTTAAAACTAGACTCTCCAATGGGACAAAGTTATTTAGTCTTACACACTCTACAACACACTCTATACACACTCTATACACACTCTATACACTCTATACACACTCTATACACACTCTATACACACTCTATACACACTCTATACACACTCTATACACACTCTATACACTCTATACACACTCTATACACACTCTACAACACACTCTATACACACTCTATTCACACTCTATACACTCTATACACACTCTACAACACACTCTATACACACTCTATACACACTCTATTCACACTCTATACACACTCTACAACACACTCTATACACACTCTATAAACACTTTATACACACTCTATACACACTTTATACACACTCTATACACACTTTATACACACTCTATTCACACTCTATACACTCTATACACACTCTATACACACTCTATACACTCTATACACACTCTATACACACTCTATACACACTCTATACACACTCTATACACTCTATACACACTCTATACACACTCTATACACACTCTATTCACACTCTATACACTCTATACACACTCTATACACACTCTACAACACACTCTATACACACTCTATACACTCTATACACACTCTATACACACTCTATTCACACTCTATACACTCTATACACACTCTACAACACACTCTATACACACTCTATACACACTCTATTCACACTCTATACACTCTATACACACTCTATACACACTCTACAACACACTCTATACACACTCTATAAACACTTTATACACACTCTATACACACTTTATACACACTCTATACACACTTTATACACACTCTATTCACACTCTATACACACTTTATACACACTCTATACACACTTTATACACACTCTACAACACACTCTATACACACTCTATAAACACTTTATACACACTCTATACACACTTTATACACACTCTATACACACTTTATACACACTCTATACACACTTTATACACACTCTATACACTCTATACACACTCTATACACACTCTATACACACTCTATACACACCCTATACACACCCTATACACACTCTATACACGCTCTATATACACTCTATGCACACTCTATGCACACTCTATACATACTCTATACACACTCTATACACACTCTATATACACTCTATACACACTCTATACACACTCTATACACACTCTATACACACTCTATACACACCCTATACACACTCTATACACGCTCTATACACGCTCTATATACACTCTATGCACACTCTATACACACTCTATACACACTCTATACACGCTCCATACACACTCTATATACACTGTATAAACACTCTATATAAACTATACACACTCTATACACACTCTATATCTACTCTATACACACTCTATACACACTCTATACACGCTCAACAACACACTCTATACACGCTCTACACACACTCTCTACGCACTCTATACGCACTCTTTGCGCAATCGATACACACTCTATACACACTAAGATAAGATAAGATAAGATAAGATAAGATAAGATTGCTTTATTTATCTCACAGAGGAGAAATGTACATGTCACATTTGGCATGGATAGAACACTCAGATTGTGCAAAGGGAGGAAATGTGCAAACATGTTACATGCAGGATATATGTACAATACATATATGTGTATATGTACTATACACACGCTACGCGCACTCTACGCGCACTCTATACGCACTCTATAAGCACTCTATATACACTCTATACACACTCTATACACACTCTATATACACTCTAAACACACTGTAAACACAGGGATCTTTGCGTGAGTTCAGAAAAACCCATATTCTGTGTTGTTGTTGTTGTGGTGATGTGAACAGACTCGCACACGGCAGCGGCACAGTCCCGGCAGCGGCACAGTCCCGGCAGCGGCACAGTCCCGGCAGCGGCACAGTCCCGGCAGCGGCACAGTCCCGGCAGCGGCACAGTCCCGGCAGCGGCACAGTCCCGGCAGCGGCACAGTCCCGGCAGCGGCACAGTCCCGGCAGCGGCACAGTCCCGGCAGCGGCACAGTCCCGGCAGCGGCACAGTCCCGGCAGCGGCACAGTCCCGGCAGCGGCACAGTCCCGGCAGCAGCACAGTCCCGGCAGCAGCACAGTCCCGGCAGCAGCACAGTCCCGGCAGCAGCACAGTCCCGGCGGCTGGTGCCAGTGGAGGCAGATGGTGAGAACCGCAGCCAGGCCTCTCACCAAACCCAAGACAATAGCTTTCTTTTCTTGCACGGTGCAGAGTCTCAACGCTTTCGTTCTGCATCGCGGTTTTGGTAATGACGTACAATAATGTGGGAATGCTTTGATGCTGCTAACTTTTCTATTTTAATCTTATTACCCTGCACACTATGTATATAACTTTACACTATATTAAGTTTAAGAGATTCTTTATTAGTCCCACAGTGGGGAAACCTCAGAAGGATAGATACATAAATATATAAAGATAGATTTATTGATATTGAAGCGTTTATAGCTAGCTAAGAAACACAGCAGTATCTTATCTTAACTTATCTTAAAGATCAAATACAGGTCTGTAAATGTGACTTCTTCTAAAAATCTCTAACTTTCTCTCTCTGTCATTACTACATCACAACATGACGACAAGGCAATGACTGAGATAGTTTTATCGACTCTCATCGGATTTGTTCCCAGCTGTTTCGAACCAACCAATCAACAAATTTATCATTATCATATATCAAGATACATCATCACACACATACACACACCATTTAAATAACCCAGATGTGTACACTGACTATGCACTTTTATGGAGCAGTAATTTGAAGACCTTTTTGCTAATGCATTCTTTCTACATGTCTTTTAATGTTTGCACCTTGAGTAAAAACAAATTCCTAGTTAAACACTTAAACAACAGCAGTAATAACAACTCTGGATTATGACCAGGAGGAGCATGTAAGGACACAGGTACATCTCTCTCTAAAGCTAAAGCAAAATGCACAGCTGCCATTCTCGCATCTGTGGCATAGAGACACAACTTATGGTGCAAATCCAGGCCATGTTAGAAAAGCTAATAAATCTCCATAGTGTGAGTGCAGCTCAGAGCACAGAGCATGAGGCTGTGTGGGTTTGTGCAGGCTGCAGCTGCTGTCTCAAGGCGGGATTCTCCTTCGTGTTGCTCTCAGAGATTCCCAGGACCTGTCTCTTTGCAGCCCTGCAGTAAGGAGCCCTTCTCCCCCAGTGTCTCCAGCTGCAAACTGGGAGCAGGCTGTGCGCGTTTGGACCAAGCGTACTCAGTGTTCCCAAAGCCATAGGATGCAGGGCTGGTGTCACCTAGACCAGGCTGGGTGATGGACCTGTCTGTGGCTCCCATCTCTCTCCACACGCACACACACACACACACACACACACACACACACATATATACAAGCATGCAAAGACTACCTGACACCTTTATGCTCAAACACATCAGCATCGAATATAACAACGAAGAAGCAATGCACGTACCAGCACCAGACGGTCCCGGGTCCATCCCATTCACTTAGCCGCTCAGAACAGCTCTCTGGTCCGTGCAGCTGTGGCCGAAGAGCCAGGGCCCCTTAAGGCTGGAAGCGACTCAGACCTCCAGCCCCCTGCTCTTTCTCGGTCTGAGTCCCCCCCCTGCCCGAACCCCCAGACCCCAGCACGGTTGCACAGGCGACAGGGGCGATCGCGGTCCCCGATGCAGAGCTCTACGCTGTACGCGGTGGTGGAGGAGGTGGAGGAGGAGGAGGTGGAGGTTCGGTCTGCAGAGTCTGGAGCCTCCGCGCTCTTTACGCTCTGTTGTGCTGCTGCTCTCGGCCCAGGCAGGATTCTCCAGCCGCACAAAAAGGCCAGCCCCTCTCCCTCATCACCCCCCCCCCCAAAAAAATCTCAAACTTCTTCGCTTCCATTGAAAAAGAACCCAGGGATTGGTCGTGAACTTACCGTCTCACTCTAGTGGCGCGAGGGGGAATTGCATCCGTGATATGCAAATGACTCCAAAGTTCAGTTTAGGTAAAAGTGCATGTACAGACCGTGCAAAGGCGTGGATTGTGACGTCAATTTTTACGTTTCAAATCCTACAAGAATCTAGGGTTGTGTTGAAAAATTAATTATCGAAAAATTCAAATTTCTACTTTTTTCAATCTTGATTTTCGGCCATTAATATTTACAGTCTATGATGTAGACTGTTACTGCCAAGGGTCTTTCTGGTCTCTCTCTGTCTCTCTCTGGTCTCGGTATGTGTGTGTGTGTGTGTGTGTGTGTGTGTGTGTGTGTGTGTGTGTGTGTGTGTGTGTGTGTGTGTGTGTGTGTGTGTGTGTGTGTGTGTGTGTGTGTGTGTGTGTGTGTGTGTGTGTGTGTGTGTGTGTGTGTGCCTGTGTGTGTGTGTGTGTGTGTGTGTGCGTGCGGAGACAGCAGGTGGCAGTATTTAATATTTTCGTTTTCAGACATAAATATCATCCTCACATACATTCGCACAAATGTATACACGTATAGATAAATACATTCACACCTTCATATTTCCATGACAGCACTTGTTTTGCTTTTTATTTTTGTATTTATCATTATCATTTTGTGCTCATTGCTCTGGATGTTAACCCCCTTTTCCCTCCTCCTCCAACATATTCTGCCCTACTATGTTATAAAGTAATTTATGTTATGAATTTGTATCACAAGTTGTTAAATAAAGGTTTAGAAAAAAAACCCTACCTTCTCAAAAGCACATGCCGGTCACATGATGAGAATTTTTTTTGTATTAACAAACTTTGCTTACAGCGTTACATGTCTCAAATTTATGTTACAATTAGAGCAAACAAAGGGTACAAATCTGGTGTAGAACAAAACTAAAAATAAAACGAGCCAACGTCATTAACGTACAGCGTGGTCGAAAGACGTTGCAATGTTTTAAAGAGTCCTTCAAACTCCAAAACTATTTTAGAAAAATATTAATATTTTTTATAAATATAATATAATAAATACAGGTATAAAATCATTGCTTGTGAATTAATTTTTCTTATTTTTTTCTTACACGATGAAAATTCTGCTTTGCGTGAACAGGAAGTCGTCATGGGTTTCAGTGCGTCACTTCACGTCAACGCGGAAGTGGTCGTCATCTTTCAGAGCAGTGGTTGTGAGTTGGAAGCGGAGGAGAGCTGCGTGAGGAGCTGTCAAACCCAGAGCAGATTATCTTGTTTCAACAGATGAAGTGATTGAATGAAGTTTGGGTTTTTAGCTTCACGTCTTTTCCCGTCGGCAGCTGCAGGTTGGTGCTCTCTCTCCTCATGCATGAAGCCAAACTCTGCAGCCTTTCTACTCTTTCACAGGGCTCTATATGGTTTTTAGTGTCATTCTGGAGGACACTAAGCTCCATGTGTTGTAAATAATGTGTTGTTGCTTTCCAAATGTTGTATTCCTTCATTCATGGGAAAAGGTGAAGCCGAGTGTTAATGTATTCAGAAGACAAATGGAAGGAAATGACTTAAAAAATGTCAAATGTATGACAGGTAAAAATGTAGTCACTTAAAGAAACATTTTTAAACCTTAGAATATGCTGTGTGTGTCTGTGTCTGTGACTGTGTCTATGACTGTGTCTGTGTCTGTGACTGTGACTGTGTCTGTGACTGTCTGTGACTGTGTCTGTGACTGTGTCTATGACTCTGTCTGTGTCTGTGACTGTGACTGTGTCTGTGACTGTGTCTATGACTGTGTCTGTGTCTGTGACTGTGACTGTGTCTGTGACTGTCTGTGACTGTGTCTGTGACTGTGTCTATGACTCTGTCTGTGTCTGTGACTGTGACTGTGTCTGTGACTCTGTCTGTGACTGTGTCTATGACTCTGTCTGTGACTGTGTCTATGACTCTGTCTGTGTCTGTGACTGTGACTGTGTCTGTGACTCTGTCTGTGTCTGTGACTGTGACTCTGTCTGTGACTGTGTCTATGACTCTGTCTGTGTCTGTGACTGTGACTGTGTCTGTGACTCTGTCTGTGTCTGTGACTGTGTCTGTGACTGTGTCTGTGACTGTGACTGTGACTGTGGCTGTGTCTGTGTCTGTGACTGTGTCTGTGTCTGTGACTGTGTCTGTGTCTGTGACTGTGACTGTGTCTGTGACTCTGTCTGTGTCTGTGACTGTGTCTGTGACTGTGTCTGTGACTGTGACTGTGACTGTGGCTGTGTCTGTGTCTGTGACTGTGTCTGTGTCTGTGACTGTGTCTGTGTCTGTGACTGTGACTGTGTCTGTGACTCTGTCTGTGTCTGTGACTGTGACTGTGTCTGTGACTCTGTCTGTGTCTGTGACTGTGACTGTGTCTGTGTCTGTGACTGTGTCTGTGTCTGTGTCTGTGACTGTGTCTGTGTCTGTGTCTGTGACTGTGTCTGTGACTGTGTCTGTGTCTGTGACTGTGACTGTGTCTGTGTCTGTGACTGTGTCTGTGTCTGTGTCTGTGACTGTGTCTATGACTGTGTCTGTGTCTGTGACTGTGACTGTGTCTGTGACTCTGTCTGTGTCTGTGACTGTCTGTGACTGTGTCTATGACTGTGTCTGTGTCTGTGACTGTGACTGTGTCTGTGACTCTGTCTGTGACTGTGACTGTGGCTGTGTCTGTGTCTGTGTCTGTGACTGTGTCTGTGACTGTGTCTGTGTCTGTGACTGTCTGTGACTGTGTCTATGTGACTGTGTCTATGACTCTGTCTGTGTCTGTGTCTGTGTCTGTGTCTGTGACTGTGACTGTGTCTGTGACTCTGTCTGTGTCTGTGACTGTCTGTGACTGTGTCTGTGACTGTGTCTATGACTCTGTCTGTGACTGTGGCTGTGTCTGTGTCTGTGTCTGTGACTGTGTCTGTGACTGTGTCTGTGTCTGTGACTGTCTGTGACTGTGTCTATGTGACTGTGTCTATGACTCTGTCTGTGTCTGTGTCTGTGTCTGTGTCTGTGACTGTGTCTGTGTCTGTGACTCTGTCTGTGTCTGTGACTGTCTGTGACTGTGTCTATGTGACTGTGTCTATGACTCTGTCTGTGTCTGTGTCTGTGTCTGTGTCTGTGACTGTGACTGTGTCTGTGACTCTGTCTGTGTCTGTGACTGTCTGTGACTGTGTCTGTGACTGTGTCTATGACTCTGTCTGTGTCTGTGACTGTGACTGTGTCTGTGACTCTGTCTGTGTCTGTGACTGTGACTGTGTCTGTGTCTGTGACTGTGTCTGTGTCTGTGTCTGTGACTGTGTCTGTGTCTGTGTCTGTGACTGTGTCTGTGTCTGTGTCTGTGACTGTGTCTATGACTCTGTCTGTGTCTGTGACTGTGTCTGTGACTGTGTCTATGTGACTGTGACTGTGTCTGTGACTCTGTCTGTGTCTGTGACTGTGACTGTGTCTGTGTCTGTGACTGTGTCTGTGTCTGTGTCTGTGACTGTGTCTGTGTCTGTGTCTGTGACTGTGTCTGTGTCTGTGTCTGTGTCTGTGTCTGTGTCTGTGACTGTGACTGTGTCTGTGTCTGTGACTGTGACTGTGTCTGTGTCTGTGACTGTGACTGTGTCTGTGACTGTGTCTGTGACTGTGTCTATGACTCTGTCTGTGTCTGTGACTGTGACTGTGTCTGTGACTGTGTCTATGACTGTGTCTATGACTCTGTCTGTGTCTGTGACTGTGTCTGTGTCTGTGTCTGTGACTGTGTCTGTGTCTGTGTCTGTGACTGTGTCTGTGTCTGTGTCTGTGACTGTGACTGTGTCTGTGTCTGTGACTGTGACTGTGTCTGTGACTGTGTCTGTGTCTGTGTCTGTGTCTGTGTCTGTGACTGTGACTGTGACTGTGTCTGTGACTGTGTCTGTGTGTCTATGACTGTGTCTATGACTCTGTCTGTGTCTGTGACTGTGTCTGTGACTGTGTCTGTGTCTGTGTCTGTGACTGTGTCTGTGACTGTGTCTGTGACTGTGTCTGTGACTGTGTCTGTGACTGTGTCTGTGTCTGTGACTGTGTCTATGACTCTGTCTGTGTCTGTGACTGTCTGTGTGTGACTGTGTCTGTGACTGTGTCTATGACTCTGTCTGTGTCTGTGACTGTGTCTATGACTCTGTCTGTGTCTATGACTCTGTCTGTGTCTGTGACTGTGTCTATGACTCTGTCTGTGTCTGTGACTGTGTCTGTGACTGTGTCTATGTGACTGTGACTGTGTCTATGACTCTGTCTGTGTCTGTGACTGTGTCTATGACTCTGTCTGTGACTGTGTCTATGACTCTGTCTGTGTCAATGACTCTGTCTGTGTCTGTGACTGTGTCTATGACTCTGTCTGTGTCTGTGACTGTGTCTATGACTCTGTCTGTGTCTGTGTCTGTGACTGTGTCTGTGTCTGTGACTGTGTCTGTGACTGTGTCTGTGTCTGTGACTGTGTCTTTGACTGTGTCTGTGACTATGACTCTGTCTGTGTCTGTGTCTGTGACTGTGTCTGTGACTGTCTTTGACTCTGTCTGTGTCTGTGTCTGTGACTGTGTCTGTGTCTGTGACTGTGTATTTGACTGTGACTGTGACTGTGTCTGTGACTGTGACTGTGTCTGTGACTGTGTCTGTGTCTGTGTCTGTGTCTGTGACTGTGACTGTGTCTGTGACTGTGACTGTGTCTGTGACTGTGACTGTGTCTGTGACTGTGACTGTGACTGTGTCTGTGACTGTGTATTTGACTGTGACTGTGTCTGTGACTGTCTGTGTCTGTGACTGTGTCTGTGACTGTGACTGTGTCTGTGACTGTGACTGTGTCTGTGACTGTGTATTTGACTGTGACTGTGTCTGTGACTGTGTCTGTGACTGTGTCTGTGACTGTGTCTTTGACTGTGACTGTGTCTGTGACTGTGTCTGTGACTGTGACTGTGTCTGTGTCTGTGACTGTGTCTGTGACTGACTGTGTCTGTGACTGTGACTGTGTCTGTGACTGTGTCTGTGACTGTGTCTGTGACTGTGTCTGTGTGTCTGTGACTGTGTCTGTGTCTGTGACTGTGTCTGTGACTGTGACTGTGTCTGTGTCTGTGACTGTGTCTGTGACTGTGACTGTGACTGTGTCTGTGACTGTGTCTGTGACTGTGACTGTGTCTGTGACTGTGACTGTGTCTGTGACTGTGACTGTGTCTGTGTCTGTGACTGTGACTGTGTCTGTGACTGTGACTGTGACTGTGTCTGTGACTGTGTCTGTGGCTGTGTCTGTGACTGTGACTGTGTCTGTGACTGTGACTGTGTCTGTGTCTGTGACTGTGACTGTGTCTGTGACTGTGACTGTGTCTGTGACTGTGTCTGTGACTGTGACTGACTGTGTCTGTGACTGTGACTGTGTCTGTGACTGTGACTGTGACTGTGACTGTGTCTGTGACTGTGTCTGTGTGTCTGTGTCTGTGTCTGTGACTGTGTCTGTGACTGTGACTGTGACTGTGACTGTGACTGTGTCTGTGACTGTGTCTGTGACTGTGTCTGTGACTGTGTCTGTGACTGTGACTGTGTCTGTGACTGTGTCTATGACTCTGTCTGTGTCTGTGACTGTCTGTGTGTGACTGTGTCTGTGACTGTCTGTGTGTGACTGTGTCTGTGACTGTGTCTATGACTGTGTCTATGACTCTGTCTGTGTCTGTGTCTGTGACTGTGTCTGTGTCTGTGTCTGTGACTGTGTCTGTGACTGTGTCTGTGACTGTGTCTGTGACTGTGACTGTGTCTGTGACTGTGACTGTGTCTGAGACTGTGTCTATGACTCTGTCTGTGTCTGTGACTGTCTGTGTGTGACTGTGTCTGTGACTGTGTCTATGACTCTGTCTGTGTCTGTGACTGTCTGTGTGTGACTGTGTCTGTGACTGTGTCTATGACTCTGTCTGTGTCTGTGACTGTGTCTATGACTCTGTCTGTGTCTATGACTCTGTCTGTGTCTGTGACTGTGTCTATGACTCTGTCTGTGTCTGTGACTGTGTCTGTGACTGTGACTGTGTCTGTGACTGTGTCTATGTGTCTGTGACTGTGTCTATGACTCTGTCTGTGACTGTGTCTATGACTCTGTCTGTGTCTGTGACTGTGTCTATGACTCTGTCTGTGACTGTGTCTATGACTCTGTCTGTGTCTATGACTCTGTCTGTGTCTGTGACTGTGTCTATGACTCTGTCTGTGTCTGTGACTGTGTCTGTGTCTGTGACTGTGTCTTTGACTGTGTCTGTGACTATGACTCTGTCTGTCTGTGTCTGTGACTGTGTCTGTGACTGTGTCTTTGACTCTGTCTGTGTCTGTGTCTGTGACTGTGTCTGTGACTGTGTCTTTGACTGTGACTGTGACTGTGTCTGTGTCTGTGACTGTGTATTTGACTGTGACTGTGTCTGTGACTGTGACTGTGACTGTGTCTGTGACTGTGACTGTGTCTGTGACTGTGTCTGTGTCTGTGACTGTGACTGTGACTGTGTCTTTGACTCTGTCTGTGTCTGTGACTGTGTCTGTGACTGTGTCTTTGACTGTGACTGTGACTGTGTCTGTGTCTGTGACTGTGTATTTGACTGTGACTGTGTCTGTGACTGTGACTGTGTCTGTGACTGTGACTGTGTCTGTGACTGTGACTGTGTCTGTGACTGTGTCTGTGTCTGTGACTGTGTCTGTGTCTGTGACTGTGTCTGTGACTGTGACTGTGTCTGTGACTGTGACTGTGTCTGTGACTGTGACTGTGACTGTGACTGTGTCTGTGACTGTGACTGTGTCTGTGACTGTGACTGTGACTGTGTCTGTGACTGTGTCTGTGACTGTGACTGTGACTGTGTCTGTGACTGTGACTGTGACTGTGACTGTGACTGTGACTGTGTCTGTGTGACTGTGTCTGTGACTGTGACTGTGACTGTGTCTGTGACTGTGACTGTGACTGTGTCTGTGACTGTGTCTGTGACTGTGACTGTGTCTGTGTCTGTGACTGTGACTGTGACTGTGACTGTGTCTGTGACTGTGACTGTGTCTGTGACTGTGTATTTGACTGTGACTGTGTCTGTGACTGTGTCTGTGACTGTGTCTGTGACTGTGTCTGTGACTGTGTCTTTGACTGTGTCTTTGACTCTGTCTGTGTCTGTGTCTGTGACTGTGTCTGTGACTGTGTCTTTGACTGTGACTGTGACTGTGTCTGTGTCTGTGACTGTGTATTTGACTGTGACTGTGTCTGTGACTGTGTCTGTGACTGTGACTGTGTCTGTGACTGTGTCTGTGACTGTGTCTGTGTCTGTGACTGTGTCTGTGTCTGTGACTGTGTCTGTGACTGTGTCTGTGACTGTGACTGTGTCTGTGACTGTGACTGTGACTGTGTCTGTGACTGTGACTGTGTCTGTGACTGTGACTGTGACTGTGTCTGTGACTGTGTCTGTGACTGTGACTGTGACTGTGTCTGTGACTGTGACTGTGACTGTGTCTGTGACTGTGTATTTGACTGTGACTGTGTCTGTGACTGTGTCTGTGTCTGTGTCTGTGACTGTGACTGTGACTGTGACTGTGACTGTGTCTGTGACTGTGACTGTGTCTGTGACTGTGTATTTGACTGTGACTGTGTCTGTGACTGTGTCTGTGACTGTGTCTGTGACTGTGACTGTGTCTGTGACTGTGTCTGTGACTGTGTCTGTGACTGTGTCTGTGACTGTGTCTGTGACTGACTGTGTCTGTGACTGTGACTGTGTCTGTGACTGTGTCTGTGACTGTGTCTGTGACTGTGTCTGTGTGTCTGTGACTGTGTCTGTGTCTGTGACTGTGTCTGTGACTGTGACTGTGTCTGTGTCTGTGACTGTGTCTGTGTCTGTGACTGTGACTGTGACTGTGTCTGTGACTGTGTCTGTGACTGTGACTGTGTCTGTGACTGTGACTGTGTCTGTGACTGTGACTGTGTCTGTGTCTGTGACTGTGACTGTGTCTGTGACTGTGACTGTGTCTGTGACTGTGACTGTGACTGTGTCTGTGTCTGTGACTGTGACTGTGACTGTGTCTGTGACTGTGTCTGTGACTGTGACTGTGACTGTGTCTGTGACTGTGTCTGTGGCTGTGTCTGTGACTGTGACTGTGTCTGACTGTGACTGTGTCTGTGACTGTGACTGTGACTGTGTCTGTGACTGTGACTGTGTCTGACTGTGACTGTGTCTGTGACTGTGACTGTGACTGTGTCTGTGACTGTGACTGTGACTGTGTCTGTGACTGTGTCTGTGGCTGTGTCTGTGACTGTGACTGTGTCTGTGACTGTGACTGTGACTGTGTCTGTGACTGTGTCTGTGTGTCTGTGTCTGTGCCTGTGACTGTGTCTGTGTGACTGTGACTGTGTCTGTGACTGTGTCTGTGACTGTGACTGTGACTGTGTCTGTGACTGTGTCTGTGTGTCTGTGTCTGTGCCTGTGACTGTGTCTGTGTGACTGTGACTGTGTCTGTGACTGTGTCTGTGACTGTGACTGTGACTGTGACTGTGTCTGTGACTGTGTCTGTGGCTGTGACTGTGACTGTGTCTGTGACTGTGACTGTGACTGTGTCTGTGACTGTGACTGTGTCTGTGACTGTGACTGTGACTGTGACTGTGTCTGTGGCTGTGTCTGTGACTGTGACTGTGTCTGTGTCTGTGTCTGTGACTGTGACTGTGTCTGTGACTGTGACTGTGACTGTGTCTGTGACTGTGACTGTGACTGTGTCTGTGGCTGTGTCTGTGTCTGTGACTGTGTCTGTGACTGTGTCTGTGTGTCTGTGACTGTGACTGTGTCTGTGACTGTGACTGTGACTGTGTCTGTGACTGTGGCTGTGACTGTGACTGTGTCTGTGACTGTGTCTGTGACTGTGGCTGTGACTGTGACTGTGTCTGTGGCTGTGTCTGTGACTGTGACTGTGTCTGTGACTGTGTCTGTGTGACTGTGACTGTGTCTGTGACTGTGACTGTGTCTGTGACTGTGTCTGTGACTGTGGCTGTGACTGTGACTGTGACTGTGTCTGTGACTGTGTCTGTGACTGTGTCTGTGACTGTGACTGTGTCTGTGACTGTGTCTGTGACTGTGTCTGTGACTGTGACTGTGTCTGTGACTGTGTCTGTGACTGTGACTGTGTCTGTGTCTGTGACTGTGACTGTGTCTGTGACTGTGTCTGTGACTGTGACTGTGACTGTGTCTGTGACTGTGTGACTGTGACTGTGACTGTGTCTGTGACTGTGTCTGTGACTGTGGCTGTGACTGTGACTGTGTCTGTGGCTGTGTCTGTGACTGTGACTGTGTCTGTGACTGTGTCTGTGTGACTGTGACTGTGTCTGTGACTGTGACTGTGTCTGTGACTGTGTCTGTGACTGTGGCTGTGACTGTGACTGTGACTGTGTCTGTGACTGTGTCTGTGTCTGTGACTGTGTCTGTGACTGTGTCTGTGACTGTGTCTGTGACTGTGACTGTGTCTGTGACTGTGTCTGTGACTGTGTCTGTGTCTGTGACTGTGACTGTGTCTGTGACTGTGGCTGTGACTGTGTCTGTGTCTGTGACTGACTGTGTCTGTGTCTGTGTCTGTGACTGTGGCTGTGACTGTGTCTGTGTCTGTGACTGACTGTGTCTGTGTCTGTGTCTGTGACTGTGACTGTGACTGTGTCTGTGTCTGTGTCTGTGACTGTGACTGTGTCTGTGTCTGTGTCTGTGACTGTGACTGTGTCTGTGTCTGTGTGTGTGACTGACTGTAGATTTTCCCAAATGTTAGGGAAGAACCGCGCTTGTCCTTTTAATAAATTCAACCTTAAAACGTGTGTGTTCTCTGCTTTTTGCTGTAGGTTTCTCAGGTTTTGGTGAAGATGTCGTGGATAAAAGAGGGGGAGTTGAATGTCCTTGAAAGGATTGCTGCTAATATCCTAAAGGTAAGCTAGTTGTTAGCCTCGCATAGTGTTAAGAATTTCAAATATGCTCATGTTTTGGACTCGCCATGAGAAAAGTATGATTCACGCTCGGCCTGAAAACACACGCTCTCAGTCCTGACGTCTAAAACACACGCTCTCAGTCCTGACGTCTAAAACACACGCTCTCAGTCCTGACGTCTAAAACACCGCTCTCAGTCCTGACGTCTAAAACACACGCTCTCAGTCCTGACGTCTAAAACACACGCTCTCAGTCCTGACGTCTAAAACACACGCTCTCAGTCCTGACGTCTAAAACACACGCTCTCAGTCCTGACGTCTAAAACACACGCTCTCAGTCCTGACGTCTAAAAACACGCTCTCAGTCCTGACGTCTAAAACACACGCTCTCAGTCCTGACGTCTAAAACACACGCTCTCAGTCCTGACGTCTAAAACATCACATTGTTAGATTTAGTGATGTGGAAAACTCTGAATAGCTCTGGTTCCTTTTGTGTATTTGACTTGATAATGTCAGAATGTCTGATACAGAATCACATGTCCTCTGTCACTTTACTTTGCCACTTTGTCCCAAACATGTACAGATTTATAAAAGTGCATTTGCCAGTTGCAGTAAAACCACATTGGAAAGACTGTGCAAGACTACCCCAGTGTGTGTATACATACAACTTTATATTTCTTTCGCTAGAATAAACGTTTCTTAATATTATAGACTTTTTACTCACTACTTGGTTTGGTATGGTATGGTATGGTACGGTACGGTACGGTACGGTATGGTATGGTATGGTACGGTACGGTACGGTTATGGTATGTACTTTAATTGAACAGGGACAGAGCACAATTCAACATGAAGACAAAGGAGAGATGCATTTCCACCTGTGGTCCCTGTAGTCCCTGTGGTCCCTGTGGTCCCTGTAATCCCTGTGGTCCCTGTGGTCCCTGTGGTCCCTGTAATCCCTGTAGTCCCTGTGGTCCCTGTTTTCCCTGTAATCCCTGTGGTCCCTTTGGTCCCTGTAATCCCTGGGCTGATGTTATAGATTCATTCTTGCACTAGAATACTGAGTGATTCTGTGACATTTGTTCAGTGTGAGATCAATAAAGTCCATCTTTTCTTACTCAGTACTTTATACTTACAAAATGTAGATATTTTATACGTATTTTATTATGATAAGTTAGAGATGTTGTGTTCATTATGCTAAAGTTAGAGATGTTGTGTTCATTATGCTAAAGTTAGAGTTGTTGTGCTCATTATGCTAAAGTTAGAGATGTTGTGCTCATTATGCTAAAGTTAGAGATGTGCTCATTATGCTAAAGTTAGAGATGTGCTCATTATGCTAAAGTTAGAGATGTGTTCATTATGCTAAAGTTAGAGATGTTGTGTTCATTATGCTAAAGTTAGAGATGTTGTGTTCATTATGCTAAAGTTAGAGATGTTGTGTTCATTATGCTAAAGTTAGAGATGTTGTGTTCATTATGCTAAAGTTAGAGATGTTGTGTTCATTATGCTAAAGTTAGAGATGTGCTCATTATGCTAAAGTTAGAGATGTGCTCATTATGCTAAAGTTAGAGATGTGCTCATTATGCTAAAGTTAGAGATGTGCTCATTATGCTAAAGTTAGAGATGTTGTGTTCATTATGCTAAAGTTAGAGATGTTGTGTTCATTATGCTAAAGTTAGAGATGTTGTGTTCATTATGCTAAAGTTAGAGATGTTGTGTTCATTATGCTAAAGTTAGAGATGTTGTGTTCATTATGCTAAAGTTAGAGATGTTGTGTTCATTATGCTAAAGTTAGAGATGTGCTCATTATGCTAAAGTTAGAGATGTGCTCATTATGCTAAAGTTAGAGATGTTGTGTTCATTATGCTAAAGTTAGAGATGTTGTGTTCATTATGCTAAAGTTAGAGATGTTGTGTTCATTATGCTAAAGTTAGAGATGTTGTGTTCATTATGCTAAAGTTAGAGATGTTGTGTTCATTATGCTAAAGTTAGAGATGTGCTCATTATGCTAAAGTTAGAGATGTTGTGTTCATTATGCTAAAGTTAGAGATGTTGTGTTCATTATGCTAAAGTTAGAGATGTTGTGTTCATTATGCTAAAGTTAGAGATGTTGTGTTCATTATGCTAAAGTTAGAGATGTTGTGTTCATTATGCTAAAGTTAGAGATGTTGTGTTCATTATGCTAAAGTTAGAGATGTGCTCATTATGCTAAAGTTAGAGATGTGCTCATTATGCTAAAGTTAGAGATGTGCTCATTATGCTAAAGTTAGAGATGTGCTCATTATGCTAAAGTTAGAGATGTTGTGTTCATTATGCTAAAGTTAGAGATGTTGTGTTCATTATGCTAAAGTTAGAGATGTTGTGTTCATTATGCTAAAGTTAGAGATGTTGTGTTCATTATGCTAAAGTTAGAGATGTTGTGTTCATTATGCTAAAGTTAGAGATGTTGTGTTCATTATGCTAAAGTTAGAGATGTGCTCATTATGCTAAAGTTAGAGATGTGCTCATTATGCTAAAGTTAGAGATGTTGTGTTCATTATGCTAAAGTTAGAGATGTTGTGTTCATTATGCTAAAGTTAGAGATGTTGTGTTCATTATGCTAAAGTTAGAGATGTTGTGTTCATTATGCTAAAGTTAGAGATGTTGTGTTCATTATGCTAAAGTTAGAGATGTGCTCATTATGCTAAAGTTAGAGATGTTGTGTTCATTATGCTAAAGTTAGAGATGTTGTGTTCATTATGCTAAAGTTAGAGATGTTGTGTTCATTATGCTAAAGTTAGAGATGTTGTGTTCATTATGCTAAAGTTAGAGATGTTGTGTTCATTATGCTAAAGTTAGAGATGTTGTGTTCATTATGCTAAAGTTAGAGATGTTGTGTTCATTATGCTAAAGTTAGAGATGTTGTGTTCATTATGCTAAAGTTAGAGATGTTGTGTTCATTATGCTAAAGTTAGAGATGTTGTGTTCATTATGCTAAAGTTAGAGATGTTGTGTTCATTATGCTAAAGTTAGAGATGTTGTGTTCATTATGCTAAAGTTAGAGATGTTGTGTTCATTATGCTAAAGTTAGAGATGTTGTGTTCATTATGCTAAAGTTAGAGATGTTGTGTTCATTATGCTAAAGTTAGAGATGTTGTGTTCATTATGCTAAAGTTAGAGATGTTGTGTTCATTATGCTAAAGTTAGAGATTGTATATTGTTTGACTACAGAGTGATTGTATCTTGTGCTGTGTGCTCCTCATTCCTACTGTTCTCTAACTGGTAATGCAACACTGACATTTCCCGCTGTTGTTCTCAGGCAGGGCCCATGCCTAAACACTAACTGGTAATGCAACACTGACATTTCCCGCTGTTGTTCTCAGGCAGGGCCCATGCCTAAACACTAACTGGTAATGCAACACTGACATTTCCCGCTGTTGTTCTCAGGCAGGGCCCATGCCTAAACACTAACTGGTAATGCAACACTGACATTTCCCGCTGTTGTTCTCAGGCAGGGCCCATGCCTAAACACGTCGCCTTCATCATGGACGGGAACCGGCGTTTTGCACGAAAGAAAAATGTGGATCGTCAAGAAGGACACACGCAAGGATTCAACAAACTGGCAGAGGTGAGGGTTCTCAGTAGAGCATTGGCCTTTGAGCCTGGAGGTTGTGGGTTCGAGCCCAACACAAGACTTTCACCATCGACTCCCACTGATGTCTGCTGCCGTTGTGTCCTTGGGCAAGACACTTAACCTCTGGGAACAGCAGGTGCCACAGTGGGTAAAGTGCCAGACTGTGGTTGTGTCCTTAGGCAAGACACTTCCCCCACATTAGAATGAGTCTGGTGTGTGTGTGAATGGTTGGTGGTGGTGGGAGGGGCCGATGGCACAGACTGGTTGCCTCTCTTCTGTCAGTGTGCCCCAGGGCAGCTGTGGCTACAGTAGTTTATCACCTGTGTTTGGAGAGAGAGAATAATGAAGTGAAGAGACTTTGAACGTCCAAAATGAGCGCTGTATAAAACCAATGTATTGTTATTATTATTATTATTATTCTTTGTCTTTTTAACTACATTTACAAATCCCCTTTTTCTTACGGTTTTACATCACGGCGTCTCTGCTCCAGACCCTTCGATGGTGCAAACATTTGGACATTCAGGAGGTCACCGTCTACGCCTTCAGCATCGAGAACTTTAAACGCACCCAGGACGAGGTCGACGGACTGATGGAACTGGCTCGACAAAAGTTTCTCCGATTACTGGAAGAAATGTGAGTAAATCTGTTTTTTATATGTAGCACTTGTGGTTCAGATAAATGAGGTTTAGAGTGTTTTGGATTATCCTGGGTTCGAATCTCGGTCGGAACAGGGCCTTTCTGAGTGGAGTTTGGTCTGACTTCTGTCATCGCTGTGTGGAGGGAATGGAACAATATCTGAACTCTGAACTTTTGTAAAGCGCTTTGGGAGACCTTGGTCTGTAAAATGTACTATATAAATACTTACTTACAACAAAAGAGAAGCCCCAACCTGCCTGCGTGGGTCTCTCCTGTCTAAAATAAGCTATTGACATAAAAATATGAGGTGGATGTTTTTACAGTGTTATTATTATTATTATTATGTGGATTATCATGGGTTCCACATTTACAACCGTCGCCGTGGGACACCGTCACAGTCGTCTGACACACACGTCACAGTCATCTGACACACACCGTCACAGTCGTCTGACACACACCGTCACAGTCGTCTGACACACACCGTCACAGTCGTCTGACACACACCGTCACAGTCGTCTGACACACACCGTCAGTCGTCTGACACACACCGTCACAGTCGTCTGACACCGTCACAGTCGTCTGACACACCGTCACAGTCGTCTGACACCGTCACAGTTGTCTGACACCGTCACAGTTGTCTGACACACACCGTCACAGTCGTCTGACACCGTCACAGTCGTCTGACACACCGTCACAGTCGTCTGACACCGTCAGTCGTCTGACACACCGTCACAGTCGTCTGACACCGTCAGTCGTCTGACACACCGTCAGTCGTCTGACACCGTCAGTCGTCTGACACACCGTCACAGTCGTCTGACACCGTCAGTCGTCTGACACCGTCAGTCGTCTGACACCGTCACAGTCGTCTGACACACACGTCACAGTCGTCTGACACACACCGTCACAGTCGTCTGACACACACCGTCACGTCAGTCGTCTGACACACACCGTCACAGTCGTCTGACACACACCGTCACAGTCGTCTGACACACACCGTCACAGTCGTCTGACACACACCGTCACAGTCGTCTGACACACACCGTCACAGTCGTCTGACACACACCGTCACAGTCGTCTGACACACACCGTCACAGTCGTCTGACACCGTCACAGTCGTCTGACACCGTCACAGTCGTCTGACACACCGTCACAGTCGTCTGACACCGTCACAGTCGTCTGACACACCGTCAGTCGTCTGACACACCGTCACAGTCGTCTGACACCGTCAGTCGTCTGACACCGTCACAGTCGTCTGACACTGTCACAGTCGTCTGACACACACCGTCACAGTCGTCTGACACACACCGTCACAGTCGTCTGACACACACCGTCACAGTCGTCTGACACACACCGTCACAGTCGTCTGACACCGTCACAGTCGTCTGACACACCGTCACAGTCGTCTGACACCGTCAGTCGTCTGACACACCGTCACAGTCGTCTGACACCGTCAGTTGTCTGACACACCGTCACAGTCGTCTGACACCGTCACAGTCGTCTGACATCGTCACAGTCGTCTGACACACCGTCACAGTCGTCTGACACACCGTCACAGTCGTCTGACACACCGTCACAGTCGTCTGACACACACCGTCACAGTCGTCTGACACACACCGTCACAGTCGTCTGACACACACCGTCACAGTCGTCTGACACACCGTCACAGTCGTCTGACACACACCGTCACAGTCGTCTGACACACACCGTCACAGTCGTCTGACACACACCGTCACAGTCGTCTGACACACACCGTCACAGTCGTCTGACACACACCGTCACAGTCGTCTGACACTCACATGATCCAGAGCTTCCTCTAAGTTAATATTGTAGATTTTCTGCCTGCTCTGTTGTTCATGTTTCAGTTTTGGCCTCAGGCAGAAGAACTGGAGCCGGTTGTGGCGAGTTCTGCCTCTCATGTGTTTTCCTCTTTGCTCGTTCTACACATGACGGCTCATAATCCTAATATGTGTTAATCTACTAAACCATGTTTGTATTAAACAGTAGCACCAAAGGCTTTGTTTTAAGAATGTAATCGCTGGAGTTTTAATGAATAGATACTTTATTGGTCCTGTTGGAGAAATGTCTGGCAGCAAAAACACATCCAAAACAAACAGATACTTATATATTTAACAATATAATAATAATAATAATAATAACAGTCCTTCAGGACACAGCAGCAGAGGTGGTTCAGACTATTTTCTTTGCTCTGGTCTGGACCAGTGTAAAACCATGAATCCTCTCTGCTCTGGTCTGGACCAGTGTAAAACCATGAATCCTCTCTGCTCTGGTCTGGACCAGTGTAAAACCATGAATCCTCATCATGTAGAAAAAAGCAAGAAAACTAACAATTGTAAAACACAAAACAACAGTTTTAGAGATACTCCACGAGTATCTCTGGATAGAACCGGGACCAAGCTGGTACTAGAATTAATTAGTAAGTAAGTTTTGTTTAAGTTTGTTTATATAGCGCATTTTTTACAGACCATGGTCACCTTATAATGTTCAGAGTTCAAGATAAGATTAGGAAAGTATTTTAAAAACTTCTCTGTCAGGGTCAAGCAGAGTAGAGTAGCATTAGCACTGTTAGCATGAGCTTGTACAGTGATGCCAACATGTGGTTTTATTTCCTTGACTACTATTGTTATTTCACTACATCTGAAACGTGAAATCTCATATTAAACATTCTCTTTGTTTGTTTTTTTTAGGGATAAAATTAAAAAGCATGAAGTTTGTATTCGAGTCCTGGGGGATTTGGACATGCTTCCTCTTGATCTTCAACAAATCATTGCCAAAGCTGTCGTAGCAACAAAACATCACAAAAAGTAAGTTTTCTTTCTTTATTATCCTTTTTAAGTCTGTGAGAATAATCAAAACTAATGGACCAACATGAACTATTAAGCTGGACAAAGGTACGGTATAAACTGTCCCTGAGATCTATAGTTCTGCTGTGAAACGACACACCCTCCTGCTAAACTCTGTACAAAGAAGTCAGTCCCTGTGCTCCTCCGAGTCGCAGCAGGAGACCAGTCCCTGTGCTCCTCCGGGTCGCGGCAGGAGACCAGTCCCTGTGCTCCGCCGGGTCGCGGCAGGAGGCCAGTCCCTGTGCTCCTCCGGGTCGCGGCAGGAGGCCAGTCCCTGTGCTCCTCCGAGTCGCGGCAGGAGACCAGTCCCTGTGCTCCTCCGAGTCGCGGCAGGAGACCAGTCCCTGTGCTCCTCCGGGTCGCGGCAGGAGGCCAGTCCCTGTGCTCCTCCGGGTCGCGGCAGGAGACCAGTCCCTGTGCTCCTCCGGGTCGCGGCAGGAGGCCAGTCCCTGTGCTCCTCCGGGTCGCGGCAGGAGGCCAGTCCCTGTGCTCCTCCGGGTCGCGGCAGGAGGCCAGTCCCTGTGCTCCTCCGGGTCGCGGCAGGAGGCCAGTCCCTGTGCTCCTCCGGGTCGCGGCAGGAGGCCAGTCCCTGTGCTCCTCCGACCTTTTAAGTCTATGTAAAACTGTTTTCATGACAGTAATGAATGCTTGGTCCTAAAAACCATAATAATTTATTAAATACTTGTAAATGTGTGTTTTCTTCAGATGTTTTCTAAACGTGTGTTTCGCCTACACGTCGAGATACGAGATCACAAACGCAGTCCGAGAAATGGCCTGGGGAGTGGAGAGCGGCCTGATCAGAGCCAGGTACGCCTTTACATTAAGTATATATTTTAAAAAACACATTTTAATTAAAACAGAGATTTTAATGTCACACCGTGCCCCTTTTCTGAGACCCTCTGACCGTTATCATGGAGACGAGGCTTAAATATCTCAGTACTTTCCTGGTTTGTAGAAAGGTCAATAAATAATTCTTCTGTAAAAATCTGAACTATAACATTGTGTTAGTTGTTAGAGACCGTAAAGTTACTCTCGTGAAATATGATTATTTTTATTTAACTCATTTGTTGTCTTCATATATATGTATATATGTGTATATATATGTGCCACATGGTTTTGTAACTCACTCTTTGACTGCTCTTAAAATGGCTGCTCATCGTATGTTCCAGCCATTTTCTTTTTGACAGTTGGCTTTAAACTACGGCTGCACCATATGGAAATGAAAGGGATATTCGACATGTGTATTTAATATTGCAATAACGATAATATTGCGATACATACCAATATCACGATGACGATAATTCTTGGATATATCGTGCAGCCCTACTAGCCATATTGTTTTTACATGCGCACATACAGTGGGATTCGAACCCATTCCAGATTCTTTTCCAGGTCTCTTTAAAGGAGACCTATTCTGTGTGTAATAGACTTTTGTCACTATTTAAACGCATTTTTACTTTTGTATGTTTTCTTTCTTCTCCCAGTGACATCTCAGAGTTACTGCTCAGCGAGTGCCTCTATAGCAACAATTCTCCCAACCCCGATCTGCTCATTCGCACGTCCGGAGAAGTGCGGCTCAGTGACTTCCTCCTTTGGCAGGTTTGGATGAATACCATGTGACAGAACCGTGTGACAGAACCGTGTGACAGAACCATGAGACAGAGCCGTGTGACAGAGCCCCGAGACAGAGCCGTGAGACAGAGCCGTGAGACAGAGCCGTGAGACAGAGCCGTGAGACAGAGCCGTGAGACAGAGCCGTGAGACAGAGCCGTGAGACAGAGCCGTGAGACAGAGCCGTGAGACAGAGCCGTGAGACAGAGCCGTGAGACAGAGCCGTGAGACAGAGCCGTGAGACAGAGCCGTGAGACAGAGCCGTGTGACAGAGCCGTGAGACAGAGCCGTGAGACAGAGCCGTGTGACAGAGCCGTGTGACAGAGCCGTGTGACAGAGCCGTGTGACAGAGCCGTGAGACAGAGCCGTGAGACAGAGCCGTGAGACAGAGCCGTGAGACAGAGCCGTGAGACAGAGCCGTGTGACAGAGCCGTGAGACAGAGCCGTGAGACAGAGCCGTGAGACAGAGCCGTGTGACAGAGCCGTGTGACAGAGCCGTGTGACAGAGCCGTGTGACAGAGCCGTGTGACAGAGCCGTGAGACAGAGCCGTGAGACAGAGCCGTGAGACAGAGCCGTGGACAGAGCCGTGAGACAGAGCCGTGAGACAGAGCCGTGAGACAGAGCCGTGAGACAGAGCCGTGAGACAGAGCCGTGTGACAGAGCCGTGTGACAGAGCCGTGTGACAGAGCCGTGTGACAGAGCCGTGTGACAGAGCCGTGTGACAGAGCCGTGTGACAGAGCCGTGTGACAGAGCCGTGTGACAGAGCCGTGTGACAGAGCCGTGTGACAGAGCCGTGTGACAGAGCCGTGTGACAGAGCCGTGTGACAGAGCCGTGTGACAGAGCCGTGTGACAGAGCCGTGTGACAGAGCCGTGTGACAGAGCCGTGTGACAGAGCCGTGTGACAGAGCCGTGTGACAGAGCCGTGTGACAGAGCCGTGTGACAGAGCCGTGTGACAGAGCCGTGAGACTGAACCGTGAGACTGAACCGTGAGACTGAACCGTGTGACAGAGCCGTGTGACAGAGCCCCGAGACAGAGCCCCGAGACAGAGCCCCGAGACAGAGCCGTGAGACAGAGCCGTGAGACAGAGCCCCGAGACAGAGCCCCGAGACAGAGCCCCGAGACAGAGCCCCGAGACAGAGCCCCGAGACAGAGCCCCGAGACCGAGCCCCGAGACCGAGCCCCGAGACCGAGCCCCGAGACAGAGCCCCGAGAAATCTAACCAGTCGTGCCTTTTTCCTGTGTGTTTGTCCTCTTTTGTGCCGAGCAGACGTCTCACTCGTGTGTGGTGTTCCAGTCGGTGCTTTGGCCTGAATACACGTTTTGGAATTTGTGTGAAGCCATTATCCAGTATCAGCTCAGCCACAAATCTATCCAGGTTTGTGTTTCTCCTTCTTGTGTGTGTTTGGGGATATTTACTGAACTGTCGACGCAATTATGATGCAAAACTTAACGGTAAACGCTAACAATGTTGTGTAACCGCTACACAGAGCAACGCAATCTGGGAAAGTGGCATGATTTAAGACAGCTCTTGGACTTCAGTTCAGTTTGTCAATATTCAATACTGGAAGTGGTTGTAGAAATCTCATGTATTTCATCTTTAATTCAGACAAAAAAAGAGTCCATATAACATGAAAATAGACATTAAAAATACAGACAGATACAATAGTTACAAAATATTCTATCAGGTAAGTAATCTTTATTAATATAGCGCCTTTCACAGACCGGAGTCACAAAGCAATTTACATTAGTCTCTGAGTCCACACAGAGATGGGAGGGGCCAGTACAGGAGGCACAGATCTATTGTACATGGTTTTAGTGGTAGGGGAAACCGGAGTACCCTGAGGAAACCTATGCGAACACGGGGAGAACATGCAAACTCCACTCAGAAAGGCCCTGGTCCGACCGAGGCGAGAGTGCTAACCACTCAGCCACCGTGCCGGCCCACCAGTGTAGCGCCTTTCCTACACAAGGCAACACAAAGCGCCTCACAGCCCACATCATATCAAGCCAATCATTAAAATCTGCATTTAAAAAAACACAAGAATTATTAAAAACAGAATAAAATCACAAGTAATTAAAAACCTTCAAATAATAAAAAGCCTCAATACATTACAAAAAGTCTTACAAAAAGAGTAAAAATAAAATCCTTCAGTTGTTTGCACAGATACACAGAACTGTTTTTAACCTGGATTTGGAGACTGCCAGAGTAGATGCCAGTCTCACATCTTCAGGAAGATTGTTCCAGATTTCAGCTGCATAAATCTGGAACGCTGCCTCCCCATGTTTAGTTCTATAAAGCAATCACTTTAGCTGCTTCTTTTTACCCTGTTTCATTCCTACACTTTTAGCTTGTTTTATTTTAATCTGCAAAAGGAGTTAGCCCCTCCCACCTGTTCACGGAGCCCAATGGAGCAGATCCAGACCTTTTTAGAATGAAATGAAATGAGTACAATGGTGTGGTAAGACCAGGTTAGAATGAAGCTGGTCATATAAAGTATTACGAAGCCTTGAGGTGGATTAATCACATTGAGAGAACTTTACCCTCTGTGTACTCCTGCACTCCCTCCTCTGTCATTGTCATTCAGGTGTTTTGCAGTTTTCTGTATAAACCACATTGAAAAACATGCACCAGACATGTACAGCAATAAAACAAGCTTAACGTAAAGTTCTATCAACAAAAACAGTTTCAATCGTGTTTCAGCGCCTCTTGTCTAGTTCTTGTCTTTGTCCCGGTTTGGTTGGTTATTGTATTTTTCTATACTTTATTGTGTCTTTGCTCAGTACATCTCGAAATGATCAAAGCAAATTCGCATTAGACACACTTTTTTTGTGTCTTTTTTTGTCTTTTCACCCTTTGTGCCAAACAAGAAAAACAAATGGTCTATAATGATGATGGGTAAATTAAAATAAAGATAGAGTTGGCTTTAATTCACTGATATAGATATTGTGTCAAAAGACTCTACAGCCAGTGCCATACGGAGGAAAACAAACGGATTAACAAAAACTTCCCTCTGTCTCGGTCTGTGTTATTTTCTGTGTAAACACCTAGATTTAAGAATATCACTTTTGCCTTTCATCTCACATAACCTTCTCTGTATTTTTCCTCTGTATGTTGTATTAGTGATTGAATATGATGATTGTTGTCCCTCAGAAAGCCAGAGAGCTGCAGCAGCAGCAGCAGGAGCGGGTGCAGCTGGAGGCAGACCGGGCCTGTGTGAGCGAGCTGCACCAGGGCAACGGAAAACCCTCGGACGCCCAACGCCAGCAGGAGGCGCTACAGCAGTACACGGCCTGCAGAGAGGAGCGCGTCCAGGACTTCCTACACGAACTCAAGCACAAGAGAAACCTGTTTTTTACCGACTTAACTCAAATGGTCTCTACCTAAGACCAGGGAACTATCAAACCCATGCGAAACCTCCTCCTGGTTCTCTCTTCTGCGAGAACTCTGAGCTTTTCCCCTGATTTGAACGAGAGGTGGAGGGTTGCCAGGTCTGTGCGTTGCCAGGTCTGTCCGTCCTTTCAGAGAGAAAGTGGTTTTGGAGACGCCGGAGGTCACATGACCCCTATGGGGCTGTACAAGACAAGGATTTATTTATGATTGTAGATTTTTAAAGAAATATTCACATCTGGTCAAGGTGTAGTTACTCTCGCCCCGTTTCCACCAGCTCTGCTCTACTCTACGTGTCTGTCTCTACTCTGCTCTGCTCTGTGTCTCTACTCTACTCTGTGTCTCTACTCTGTGTCTCTACTCTACTCTTCTGTGTCTCTACTCTACTCTTCTGTGTCTCTACTCTACTCTACTCTGTGTCTCTACTCTACTCTGTGTCTCTACTCTGTGTCTCTACTCTACTCTTCTGTGTCTCTACTCTACTCTTCTGTGTCTCTACTCTACTCTACTCTGTGTCTCTACTCTACTCTGTGTCTCTTCTCTACTCTGTGTCTCTTCTCTACTCTGTGTCTCTTCTCTACTCTGTGTCTCTACTCTGTCTCTACTTTGTGTCTCTACTCTGTGTCTCTACTCTACTCTGTGTCTCTACTCTACTCTGTGTCTCTACTCTACTCTACGTGTCTTTAGTCTAGTCTACTCTGCGCTACTCTGTCTCAACTATAGTCTAGTCTATTCTACTCTGCTCTACCCTTCTCTGCTCTACTCGTCCCCCTTTCTACTTCTCTCTTCTCTACTCTAAAGACTCGACTCTTCTCTCTGCTCTATTCTACTCTCCCCCGATTGGGAGCGTTACCATCGGCCCTGTTTGAACAGTCACCTGGTACTTGTTTTAGTCCCTCTTAGAACACTTTAGTACCAGCTCTGTACCAACTGACAGTGATTGGCCAGAGTGCTGCTGAAAGCCATGGTTACTAAGGAATTTCCCCGGGTACTGGTTTTGTTGTGGTTCGTTTGCCAGAAAACACTACCAGATTCTAAAGTGTAGTCGAACCACAACCAGGCTGGGCTGGGCTGGGCTGCGGGAAACGGCGCTGGTGGAAATGGCGCTAGTGGAAACGAGGCTTGGTGGAAACGAGGCTGGGGCTTGGTGGAAACGGGGCTTGGTGGAAACGGGGCTTGGTGGAAACGGGGCTTGGTGGAAACGGGGCTTGGTGGAAACGGGGCTTGGTGGAAACGGGGCTTGGTGGAAACGGGGCTTGGTGGAAACGAGGCTTGGTGGAAACGAGGCTGGGGCTTGGTGGAAACGAGGCTTGGTGGAAACGGGGCTGTGATGTCGTGTGTCTAACGCATGCTTGTTGTCGGTGTGAGAATATTGGAAAATCTTTTGAAGACGTGTTTTATCGTGCTTTATGTTGAAGTCGACGGTAAGTGGTAAATGTCAAACGTTTGGATTTAACTACATTTTGACTAGATTTCTAATAAAGTCAAAAATATGGTATCAAATGGACTTCCTCAAAGGCTTCATCCCTGAGCCTTTCTCTTTTGTTTTGGTTTTAACACATTAAAACAGCACTGAGCCTCAGACAAACACTACTTTGACAAGAGGAGGCGACAATAAACTCAGTCAAAGCGTTAGTGTGGTGTTTGCTTTGTTGTTGGACCTTAATACGAACGGCTAAAGCAAATGTGTGTTACTGCAAACCATAAACAAAATGATACAAAATAAATAATTACAGTATTGTGCGAGTATAACACTGTCCATGCAATAAACAAAAACAAATTACCATGTTTGCATTTGTAGGCTCACACGAAAGCCTTTCATTTCCACATTGTGCCTTTTAGTGAGAGAAATATGGCACTACACCCCACTGAAAAGATCAAACACATTCAAAACATTAAGAATAAAATGTCTCACAGATTAGTCTCACAGTGAGGAAATGTCAGTGTTGCATCAGCAGTTACAGAACGGAAGGAATGAGGAGCATGAGACACATGAACAATAACTCTGTACTATAAAACATGTGCAGTCTATGGTCACACCAGGAAACGTGCAGTCTATGGTCACACCAGGAAACGTGTACAGTCTATGGTCACACCAGGAAACATGCACAGTCTATGGTCACACCAGGTAACGTGTACAGTCTATGGTTACACCAGGAAACATGCACAGTCTATGGTCACACCAGGTAACGTGTACAGTCTATGGTCACACCAGGAAACATGCACAGTCTATGGTCACACCAGGTAACGTGTACAGTCTATGGTCACACCAGGAAACGTGTGCAGTCTATGGTCACACCAGGAAACGTGTACAGTCTATGGTCACACCAGGAAACGTGTGCAGTCTATGGTCACACCAGGAAACGTGTGCAGTCTATGGTCACACCAGGAAACGTGTGCAGTCTATGGTCACACCAGGAAACGTGTACAGTCTATGGTCACACCAGGAAACATGCACAGTCTATGGTCACACCAGGTAACGTGTACAGTCTATGGTCACACCAGGAAACGTGTGCAGTCTATGGTCACACCAGGAAACGTGTACAGTCTATGGTCACACCAGGAAACATGCACAGTCTATGGTCACACCAGGTAACGTGTACAGTCTATGGTCACACCAGGAAACGTGTACAGTCTATGGTCACACCAGGAAACATGCACAGTCTATGGTCACACCAGGTAACGTGTACAGTCTATGGTCACACCAGGTAACGTGTGCAGTCAATGGTCACACCAGGAAACGTGTGCAGTCTATGGTCGGACCAGGAAACGTGTGCAGTCTATGGTCACACCAGGAAACATGCACAGTCTATGGTCGGACCAGGAAACGTGTGCAGTCTATGGTCGGACCAGGAAACGTGTACAGTCTATGATCGGACCAGGAAACGTGTGCAGTCTATGGTCGGACCAGGAAACGTGTGCAGTCTATGGTCACACCAGGAAACGTGTGCAGTCTATGGTCACACCAGGAAACGTGTGCAGTCTATGGTCACACCAGGAAACGTGTGCAGTCTATGATCACACCAGGTAACTTGCAGTCTATGGTCACACCAGGTAACGTGTGCAGTCTATGGTCACACCAGGAAACGTGTGCAGTCTATGGTCACACCAGGAAACGTGTGCAGTCTATGGTCACACCAGGTAACGTGTGCAGTCTATGGTCACACCAGGAAACATGCACAGTCTATGGTCACACCAGGTAACGTGTACAGTCTATGGTCACACCAGGAAACATGCACAGTCTATGGTCACACCAGGTAACGTGTACAGTCTATGGTCACACCAGGAAACGTGTGCAGTCTATGTGGGTCACCCCCCCTAACACTCTCACTCTCTGGTTTTATGTTATCATCTTATCCTTCTGTGGTACGTTGTTGTCTATCTAGGTTTGGCCGTTTACTGAAGGGTCTGTACCATTTTTTAATAAACTTCAATAAAAAAGATGAAAACACGCGCCACAAACATAAAAAAACCAAAACTACAACACGAGCAGACGTCAATGAGAATCAGAGCTTCACAAATACCGACAGGACAGCGCCCCCCAGCGTCGCCCAGAGGGACCTGCGGCTTGATCCTCTTTGACAAGTGGGCGGTCGCTCACGGAAAACCACGTGACCTCGGCGTCCAATGGGCTGCATCTCAACACAAAACCAGTTCAGACCGGTTTCCTTCTTATATTTCAGTGTATAAACTACAAAAACATTCGTTTGCATTATACATTCGCCATTTTACGCTGCAGCTCGCCGGTGGTCGCGCAGAAGCCTCCTGAAAAAGTCTGTTTTACGGTTATATTTTTGTGCTTTTCTTTCTGCAATCCCTGCAACCAAGATGGGCAAAGCAAAGGTGATGTATTTTTTTTACACTTATTTCTTTCTTATTGCATGGAATTGGAGGTTATCTCGGAGCAGAGACGGGTGTAGTGGATGAGTGCCGTGCATCAGACGTCATCATCCCTAATGCCACAGCACAGCCCTGCACACATCTCCCATTTTCGTGTCTCTGCAAATCCAAGCCTCAAACGCACTATTCTATTAAATAACGGAGATTTTAAAACGCATTATGAATTAGATCAAATCTGTGTTTTTTTGCGTGACGACTTCTTTGTAAATAAACAAAAATAAAGCAGAGGCGCATTTTTGCATGAGTTCTGAGGACATACGCTGTGGTGTGTGTGGGGGTGTAAATCTGCATGGGTCTAACATGTTATATTAGATTCTACACTGCAGTATATGTCTGTCTGCTCAATGCACAGCGAAAACAAAACAGCCACGTCCGTTTTGCCCGCCAAAAAAAACTATTTCAGATGCGTTTCGAGTGGGAAACTGCCTCCACGGGGGAAGGAGTTGGGGGAGGGGTGGCTGGCTATTCTGGTCCCTTCTTATACCCTCTTTAGATTACGATAAGTAGCTAAACGTGCCATTGCATAGGCTTTACGTAACGCCTTGCTTAACATCAACATCAAAATCAGAATCATTTTTATTGCCATGTTAGTAACAGGAAGTCAGACTAGGAAATAGCTTTGGCTCTCGGTGCAAACAGGTCAAAAGTAGAGAATAGAAAAAGGCATAATAAAAATCTACATTTTTAAAATATAAAAATACAATAATTATACAGTTATTGTGATATTATTGAGTGTTTTGGCTCGTAAAAAAAAAAAAAAAAACATGGGCAGGATTGTGTGGGATTTGCGTATTAGCCACAAAATAAATGCTATTGAATGCTATGCTATGATTGAAGAGCCCTGGGCCTGGTTGGGCCTGGTTGGGCCTGGTTGGACATGTACTCGGGCGAGGGTTTGGTGGTCGGTCGCCCCCGGGCTTGGCGTGTCTGGGGAGGCTGTAATCCCGCGATCACAACAGCTGTCCGTCCGTCGGCGCGAGCTCAACAAAACAAAGGAAGCTGTCAAGGCGCCAAACGCTCGGCTACGTCATCACGTAACTGCGTCATTATTTGAATTCAAAAAGTGAGCGGGAAGTCTTTGTCCACGTCACAAGATCACATCCGATGTTTGGGTTTTACGTATTTTTAATGAGCTAAAATTCTCCTCGGGTTAAATGTTATATTTATAGACATTGTTCACCTGCTTCCTGTGGACCAATGGCTTTGTTTGTTTTAATAATTGTTTATGAACGGTTTGATTCTCTGATCTGTTGTTGGTCGAGAACTTTGTCCTCCGTACCGACTGCTGTTGTGATTTAAGGCTTTTTAATAAATATGGTTCTAATCCCAGCAAAATACTACATTGATGATATGAAATTCAGTGGAAAACCTATTTAGCCTCAATTAAAAATAAAAACGAAATGATAACAAATGTATTAAAACAAGCACATTTATAAAGAAATGGGATATTAGTATGTATGTATTTATAGTTTTCGAACAATATTAAATGTGTTGTTTTTGTCATTGATCTATGATTATTGTTATATATATTAACAGTCTCCTCTTTTCTGCTTTGTTTTCCAGGCATCGTCCAACACCGAGGTTTGTCATCACATGTTCAATTGTTTGCATTAGTTCATGTTAGCATTAGCTCTTGTTAGCCATGCATGAGTTACCACATTGTTCCCTCCGTTAACGCTTGTGTCGTCCGTCTTTACATCTGTCATAGTTTTTGTTTTGACTAATGTTCTTGTTTTATTGATTCCAACAGCGTAGAACCTCCCAGCGCTTGGCAGGCGTAAGTCTAAGACCATTTTGTCTTGATATTTTAGTTAGTATCTGTTTAATTAACAAGATTTTATTTTTTTGCAGCGACCCAAACCAACGGCAGCAGAGCCCAAGAAAAAGGCTGTTAAGGTAAATCACATTGGTCTAAGATAGCCCCATTTTTATTTTTGTCTTTCTGTGTTAATTACATAGTTACGATGACATTTACTTGATATGGATTCAGTTACATTGGACTGCCTTTAGCATTTTAGCAAAATAAGCTAATTTTCAACACTTCTGTCATCGCACAATCAGATTTTAGGTCAGATCAGATTCATTTATTTGCCATTTGCAGTAAACCCACATTAGAATACCTCCGCAAAAGTCCACGTAGAATCAGGTGTTAAGAATGTTGTTTTTCAGAGGGCACCCAAGCAGAAGAAGGCCAAGGTTGCGGAAAATGGAAGCAAGGCCGAGGTTTGTAACAGACGACGACACAACCTGAAAGTGGATGTGTTGCTATAATCCCAGTGTGTGTGTGTCTTCACAGGAGCCAAAGGCGGAGGCAGCGGAAGCCAAATGAATATCTGTCGTGCTTACTCTGTGTACTTGGTGATTGTACAGTTTTAAAATAAGTATTTTTTACCAAGTTTTATATTATAAATGTCATAGGTTTGTTTTTGAGCTTGCACTTGATGTAACATGAGTTTTCACCTTCATATCGATGATTTTAAAGCTTATCCACCTCCAGTAATTACCGTCCATATCATTTATGACATGACTTTGAAACTGCTGAATAATATTTGCAAGATGAAGTAGTCATTTGAAGCATTGTCTGGCAGCTAAAATATTGTTACAAACGTAGGGACATTAGGAATCAAAACACTCCCTATAACTTATGTTAAGCTAATTATGGAATGCTCAAACTGTTTTGAACTACTTAGAATCATGTGATTAGTCAATGGATATGCATCAGATGTCTTTGAAAGTAGCCGTAGATGAAGTTTAATACATCCCAAATAACATGATGTGACCATGGTTGTCTGAAAAATAAACTTAAATTATGCTCTGTAAGCAGAAGAGGAAACTTTTCTGACAATGGTTGCTTTTCATGTTCTTGAATAAAAAATATCAAAATGGGCTGTTTCTTGCAGATTTGTGACGCGGGTCTTAAAAGTGTAAAACATGAAATCTGGTTAGAGTTTTAAGATGATCAAATAGGTGTTTTAATGAGTCTGAACGGAAAGAAAGATGCAAGGTCAGACGGCTAGATTCCCGTTCAAGACAAACAGGAAGTGAGAGTATTTGGGATTGTAAATAGCTTCCACCAATGTCCCTCAGGTCCCAGTTAAAACAGATAAAAACAAACCACACATGAATCCATTGCCAAATTAAATACAGATCCGTTACAGAACAAATCCAGTCAAAATAAGTAAATAAACTTGCCATACCCAATGACCATCAACATTACATGAAGGAAGTCACAATCTAAGGCTTTGATTTTAGTAAACGGCGCAAATGAGTAATAAAATCACACTAATGTACAATAAATCTTAACAGACTGATTTTGGATGCTGACAAATGTGTTTAGATAATTTTCCTGAAAGATCATGAGGGTTCGGTTCCCATTCAGGATCCATTCTTCTGCCAAGGGAGTCACACACTAGAGAACTTTTCCTTTGTAAACGGAGCAAACGAGTGATAAAATAGGCATAAACAGGGGTCAAAACATGCGTACAATTCGAGTTTTTAAATACACACACTAGACATTTGCCAGTGCATGTTATCAACTAGTCTCCAGAGATATGATTATACACTTAAACAAGTACAATGGTGTATTTTGGGAAAGAATCCTCATTTTTCATCCAGAACCTCATTAAAATCCGTACTCCCATAACTTGGTAAGCTAACAACATAATGTCAACTCGTTTATGGAAGGTTTTCTGTAAATATGTCTGATAATAGTAACGGTACGACAGCTGTTTTGACGCCACACCACCACCAGAGGGCAGTGTTACCCTCTTTAGGCTGATATAAAGCCGAATTTGAACGCAATCTGGAAGTCATTTTTAGGCCTTTTTATGGAGGATATTTAACTCATAACCTCCAGTCTGATGACCCTGGGTGTACGTGGTTCTCCAGAGTCCATTTACTGAGAAAAACCAGAGTAAAAGTACAGAAGACGAGGTGAAAGGACGAAACATACGAAGGAGGTCTCTGCTTTACGTTCAGAGCGTGCGCCACGTGAGCCCAGAGCATATAGATCCCGGGCCACATCCGAATTCACCCCACACACCTCCTTCCTCGTCCTTCTCTCCATCCGCAACGCCCTTATCAGCATTTCACGTCACCCCTGTGTGATTTATATTGTCTTATCATGCGTTTACGTCGCACCTGCTGTTTTGACCCCGTGAAGTTTCAGTTTTAAACGACGTGTGTATTCTTTGGTTGGGATTTCGGATGCAGCCGCAGGCCAATGGCACGTCTAGTCTTCTACGCTGTCACTTCCTTCTCTTTTTAAGCAACAACAGAGTCCACAAACTAAATAATGTAGTTGCACATGCATTTTACAATCTTATCCTTTTACAGTAGCCCGAAATTGCATAGAATAAACCTAAAACAGGTTGGATCCCATATATGCTGGAATCGCGCTTGCATCGTAGTGTCACTGTATAGAACATGTACAGAACGCCCTGTTGTCCTGTTAGTTTTGGGCACATGTGGCGGACTAGACCATGTGTGGCCTGTCGCGGGGGTCCATGACGATCAGTGTGCAGTGTGTGGTAGACATGAGCAGGGAGCGGAGATCACGCCCCCCTCACGCAAACTACATGCGTCCCTCTGCGTCTATAAAGAGCCGCGTGTGGACACTGTGTACCATCCATCCCAAACCCAACCCAGGCTGCAAGTCCCCAAGCTCTGCACAACTCCAGGTAAGTGCACTTCTCACTTTCAAAATAGCTTATTTCAGGACTTTGAGAGTGGGGGATGTCAGATCTGCAGCCGTTTGTAGTTTGACATCTGAGCAGTTGTGAGTTTCTCAGATTCATCGCCTTTGTTTTCTACTTTAGTCATAAGAATTGCATTATTTCAATACATTTTTGACTAGTTTTTCTGAGCCATTTGTGTTAAAACTGAAAAACTAAAGCCTGTCTAAAGAAATGTGTTTTTGTCCATATTTTTGCCTGGATGTTCTTGCCTGATTTTCTTTTTCTAAATTACATGCATTTATTTTTTTGCTTCAAACCACTGTCTCTACGCTCTTACTATTTTTGTGCAAAGATGTGGCCATTTTTTGCAATATTTAAAACTAACAATTTGACAAGTGCAGGGTTTATTGCATTTAAACGTATATTTTGTTTTCCATTGTCCATAACGTGTCCATACTTTACTGTCAGTGCAGACCGAGCACTGTACATTCTGTTCCTTGGCTCGCACTAAAAGAACTGGACCAGACATGACACCTCTGTTAGAAAAGCAAAGAACAGTGTAGAATAGAATCATGTTTACAATTACCATAAGTTAATACACTATAAAAATATCTTTGAATCTTTACGCTGCATTTATTATTATCATTGCAGCAGCTGTTGATCCCTTTGTTGCTTGGATCCTGCTGATTTCCTGAGGTGTTGATTCTAGGGAACTTTACACTGCACTTTTTGACATGTTTTTATTCATACTTAGTCAAGACTCAAAAGAAAATGGTCCATATTTTGTAATAAAAGGGTAATCAAAGTTGTAGACAATGCAGTAAAACATACAGATCAATCAAAGCAGATCCAGAGACTGTGGAGCTGCTTTCTTCAGTCAGAGGTGGTTTTATTGTTAGTTTAAATACATTTGTGTGTTTTCTAAATGCAAATCCAGAGTGAGGGAAGAAACCTGCATCTGTTCTCATTATATTATTGTATTAGTCTTGGTTTTAGGTTCTTATGTGTTAATGGCACTAGAATGACAAAGATGGACTTCAGCTGTTGTGAGTTTTTTCACTCTGGAATGCATTGGAACGACAAAGATTAAATTATGGGTTTTTAGTCTTTTTGTTAAAGATGTTTTAATGAATCCTGCATGTTCCAAGACACATAGCATTGTGTCGCTATGGTAACGGCCATGATCAAGCTGTCGGAAATAAAGGGCTGAGATGAAATGATCAAACATGAATACATATTTTGTGCTGTTTGGGGGATTTTGCAGAACTAGTGTCTGAGCAATGAGCTAGTGTTGGATTCCCACATGTGCTGGAGCTGGAAGGAGACCCAGGAGGCGTGTTGCTTTTTGGAGGCGTGTGTGTAGCGTGTGTAGTGCGTGGGGAGGGGCCAGTGAGAGAGGAGTGGAGATGGAATGTCATTGGTGGAGTGGAAAGAACACAGTGTACCATGTAGAATGTATTGAATGTATAGAGACGAGCCAAGACTGGGCCTGAAAGTGGGTTTGTTGTTGGTAAATGTGTGACTTTAGTAACAAAATAAACAGTAATACATCAAAAGCTGTGCTGTGTTCAACAGTTTGTGATTTTTGCTGAATTGACAAGTTTGTGAAGTCCTCAGACGCTGCTGTGATGTAGGGCTCTGTACAAATGCATCGACTTGAACACAAGTCAATTGTCGTCATATCTATATCACATGTGTCGTTCAATGGGATTTTCTTTGATCTTCCTTGATACAAACTAGCACAGTCTGCGTCCTGATGCGCAGTCAGTCTGCGTCCTGATGCGCAGTCAGTCTGCGTCCTGATGCGCAGTCAGTCTGCGTCCTGATGCGCAGTCAGTCTGCGTCCTGATGCACATGTCACAAGTGTCTAAATAAAAGTTGTTTACCTGCAGTAAACGAGTCCGATGAGTGACACGGTCCACACCTATTTTATCACTGCGATGGAAGCAGGATTGGAGAAAAGTCGAGCATTAGATAAAATAGTAAAACATATTTTAATGGATGGATTTTTAGCGAGACGACTTTGACTTTGCGTCCCTGGACTGGAGGTTCTACAGGCGCCAGGTTTTCCATCACAAATTCACCACAGCTGTTGCTTCTGACAGAGAGGGACCTTTAAGGCTAAACCTGGACTCATTTCTTGCTGTTCAGTTTAACCATAACTTTGTATATGTACACTGAAAAAAATAAAATACAAGAGATGAGATGTACTTAAATAACATGAGGTAGTAATGGCTTGAATCGAGTGTTTTTGATCCTAATTTTACACATTCTGACTAGATCTAAAACTATATTCTCCAGTGAGACAAAGCCATTTGGTCTTATTTCAAGAACTGTTGCTGTATTTCCTCATTTAAAAGGAGAGATTTCTTGTATATTCATCAAACAAGATCATTTTGCTTTGTCCCACTGCAGAATCTTGTTATAAAGCTCAGTCAAAATGTGCAATTAGCAATTTCTTATTTTTCGTCACTTTTTGCAGCTTGGAAGTTAATGCCAAGTACATTTATCCATTGTGACATCCATCTATTTTCAGATCCTACTTTTTTTTTTTGTCTAATTGTACAATGCATTTTTGAGGTTGCGCCAAATTCCTGCTGGTGTGACTTTTACTGCTTCTTCTTCTCTTCCGTGTGTTCAGTCTTAGCTTCCAGGCTACCTCTGCTAGCTGCCAGACGTAAACATGAGTTATGTAAACAAACCCATGCAAATACATTATATAACATGTTTTTATCTAACAAGTCCTCTCTTTATAATCTCTCTGCTGCTGCTGCTGTTCCGACTTTGCCTCGAAGGCTCTGATACTCGAGTAAAGCACATGCGACAGGGCTGTTTTTGGTTGTGGGGGGCGTGTGTTTGGGATGCAGCCATCAGGAGTCATGTTTTGGGACAGCTGTGTGCGAGCCGTCCGTCTGGTTGGGTAAGAGCAAAGCCGTATAAAAAGGTGCAGCTCTGAGCCACCGCCTTCTCTGCTCAACTTCACTTCTCTGCTGGATTCAGAGCTGCCATCATTCAGTTAAAACTCTCTGAAACTAATATATTTTTGTCAATTGTTTTTTTTTATTTTGGCGTAACACTTTGGATTTTTGACACGTTGCCAGGTTTGCGCTCCTCACTTTTAGCTTCCCACCTTTCCCTTTTGAAACCTCGATATTCTTGCCCCCAATAATTCAACCTCTTTGGCCCTTCCTTGCCCCGTCTTGTATATCTCATCTCCCTACACTGCAAAAAGTATAAAATTCGGTAAAAAATGCTTAAATTAAGTAGTTTTAATCTTAATCTGGGCACATTCTGACTGTTTAAACTAGATTCTCCACTGGGAAAGTCATCAGTCTTTTATCAACAACTGTTTTATTTTCTTGTTTTTAAGGAAGTCAAAATGTGCTCAAATTAAGATGCGTTTTGTCAGTTTTGAACCCTTTCTGCAGTGTAGACTCATTATCTCTGCTTCAATGATTGAGTTGATGGCGCAGCATGAAAAGACTTTTTGTTCTGCTCCGAATCCAGATCAAACTTGGTAAATTTGATTCCCGGCTCACAAAGAATCCTCCAGCGGCGAATTTGGAAAAGTCTTTAATCTGGTCCGTTGTGAGTTAGAGGTATTTCAGAAGTGACTAAATGTTGGAGAAATGTGCTTCAAGTCAAAGATGTCCTTCCTCAGGATTTGGAGAATGATTGTTCTGCAGTTCTGTCTTCCTCTTTTGACTTTGGCACTTTACGGGCAAACTGAACGTCCAAAAACCATTTCATTGGAGCTTAATTTAATTAAAGTTATTCTCGGTGGCTGAGTGGTTAGCACACTCCTTTCTCAGCAAGAAACTCCTGGGTTTGAATCCCGGCCGGAACAGGGTCTTTCTGAGTGAAGTTTGCATGGTCTCTCGTGTTTTTGTAGGTTTCCTCCGGGTGCTCCGGTTTCCCCCATCACTAACAACATGTGCAGGTCTGAATGTAGTGAGTGAATGGCGGGTGTTTGGTCGGAGGCTTTGATGAACCAGTCTGTTCTGGTCTCGCTTCAGTCATCACCGTGTGGAGAGACTGGAAAACTCTCTGAACCCTGGGTTAGCTTTGGGTCTGTAGCTTAGTCTGTAAAATGTGCTATATAATTAAAAAACATTACATTCTTGTATTGCCCTAAATCACAGCAGTCATCTCGGAGGACTTTACCAAACCGTCAGTCTCCAACACAGATCGGAGAATAAAACAAAGTCCATTAAAGTAGTCTTGGATCATTACGACTCATTGGGTTTTCTACGGTAAAGGTGCACCGCATTGATCCCCGTAGGACAACCCATCCTCTGCATTTGACCCTGATGCCCTAAGGCTTACGTCAGGAGCAGTGGTCGCCGTAGTAACAGTGCCTGAGAACCCATGTCCAGATGTTGATGCTCGGCTCGGTCAGGACCAGAGCTGGAGGATTTAACCTAGCGAGCATGTTTTTAGTGGTAGGGGAAACCGGAGCACCCGGAGGAAACCTGCACTGGAAGAACATGGAACTCCACTCAGAAAGACCCTGTTACAACCGGGATTTGAACCCCGGACCTTCTTACTGAGAAGCGGGGTGCTAACCACTCAGCCACAGTGCCGCATGGTTTTCACATGGCTGAAGGTGTTTGTTCTAGTCCCAGTGTTCAACAAACAAAACTTGGATCAGTTTCTATTTTTTTAGTTACAGATGAATGTTTGTTGTGTTCAGGTCCCAGAGCCGCGAGTCCCAACCTCAGACATGATCATCAGACTGGGCCGACTGACTCCTGGATACTTCCGCCTCCTCCAGGTAAAGGAAGGTCTATATTAATGGAAATGCCAGTTTAGTCTGTTGACAGTAAACTGACGCCAGTCGACTGACGCCGACGTGACGCGTGTTAGATTTTTCACTGATTTTATTAATTGCAACTAATTCATCCAGGTTTTAAACTGGTCAATGATTTATAGCAAAACAAAAATCTAACTGTTGTAAACGCTGTTTCTAAACCGGTCCAGGATTGAGTGTTGGTCAGAAACATTAATCTTTTCATTTTATTCCAGTTTTGTATGTTTTTGGTCTTCATAACTTTGACCTTTGTATAAAAATGTGCTACTAATCAATACTAGTGAGAACTTAAAAGCTCTAACCCCGTGATGGACCGCTGTTACTGCTTGACTATTACTGCTTCTGCTTCATTGGGTGCAACTAGTGCGATCTTTCAGTTCATAATTGAATCAGCGATGACACTAATTGCGCTCAGATCTTTCCTTTGGGCCCGTCGCCCTGGTCACTGGCCCCCTGGTCACTGGCCCCCTGGTCACTGGCCCCCTGGTCATGAAAGGCTCTGTATACGTCCAAAACCATCGTACGCCATTGTTTGCATTTTAGATAATTGGGAAACAAAGCCAGTCCGGGGATAGGGCTTTACACGAGCTCAGAAGTTCACCAGACCAGAGCAAAGTGAATTAATGTGTTAGTGGCGGGAGAGGGCACAGTGTGAGGACAGTTTATCCAAAGCTAAACAAACTCCCAGAACACTCCCAGAGCCGCCATTTTGACTGCTCCCTTTCAAACCAATGCAGTTATAAGAAATTCCCCCCAAAAAACGTAACATTTACTAAAGCCTAGCGTACATCGACAGAGAAACTGGGGACAGTTTCAAGGCGGCTTTTGGCAACTGAGAGGAGATGATGGAGATGATCAGTTGCCAAAATCGGTCGATGTGCGCGCTCTTACAACTGGAGATGATCAGTCGGTCTCCAGTTCCAGTCAGTTGCCCGTGTTCTACTTTTCGGCAACTAGTTGTCCTCAGTTGCCCCGATGTGCGCGCTCCATGCGCCGCTCCGACAACGTGTGTGTATTGCGTGTATAGCGCGCCCGCAACAGTTTATGTCAGAAAACACACTGTAGTTGAGGCCAGTTGCTGTCGATGTACGCGCTGTTATTCAAGAGACTGGCCTGCAACTCAGAGTTGCCCGTTTTCGCCAGATTGTCGATGTGTGCGGGGCAGCAACTCATATGCGACGGATATAATCAGTTGCCAGTCCGATGTACGCTAGGCTTAAGACGTGCGTGTGTATCACTTTAAATGCAGCAAAAACAGTTAGGCTACCAAATGCTAACTGCTAACAGCTGTCAGTAAACGGGGTGTTGCTATGGTAACTATGATAAACTGCTGACATTTCAAAAATAAAAGATAAATTCAAGTAAGGATGGCGTAGAAATAAACTACATAGAAACGGAGTAAAGTTATGAAGACCATAAATGTACCTGTGCTGAGTTAATTCACGAGGAAACTAGAAACAATCAGTTCTATTTGTTCTTGTATCGCCCTAAATCACAACAGTAGTTTTCTCAGACTGGACAAAACTGTTGAAATCACCAACACAGATCAGAATCAAACAGATTATAGAACACATGGTACTGGACCATGGTACTGGACCATGGTACTGGACCATGGTACTGGACCATGGGGAGAGACCAATGTTCATTACTGTAGTGTCCTGGTTCAGTCCTTCTCGTTAGACAGAGTCCAGAGAAACCTCAGACTGTTCCATGTTGTAGCTGCATAAATCTGAAATGCTGCTTCGTTTCATCCTGACTCTGGGAACAGCAGGAGGCCAGTCCCTGTGCTCCGAAATGTACACGAGGCGGTCTCTGCTCCAGGGCTGGGTTTGGCTTTGGGTAGAACCGCAAAGAATTTGACTATTACATGAGCCTCAACGTCTGACATCGAGCCAGAAATGAAGTTGTAGTTCTTTAAAAAAAAAATCTTTACTTACATTTAGTATGAAACTCTGCAGCTCACTTACGATGGATTTCTAACCCTTACTCTGAGGTAAAGTTGGTAAGTTATTGAACCAACAACTACATTGGATTAGTTTGTGTAAACTCAAACTACATTAAAGATTCATTTTAATTCTTCAACATTTCTGGCAAAAGCATCAGAACCAGTTTTTTCTTTACCTCTGGTTGTTTGCTCTGGACCTTTCAGATCTTTTGGTGGATGTTGTTAAATCACACAAAGGTCCAGTGCAAACAACCAGAGGTAAAAGAACTGGTTTATTTAACAGTTTAATCCACATCTTTTACACTTAGACATGTAGGTTTGTGAAGGGACCCCCAAGAAGCACAACAGTTTATATAGTTTGTGTGCACTTGTATATTGTAAATAGTAACTGTAACTCTATTTTAAATTTAAATTTATTCTTTAGAAGTGTTTTTTATTTTTATTATCTCTTTCTGACTGTTGCACTGAGCCAAAGCAATTTCCAAGTCTGTGACCTCCTCAACAGTTTATATGTAGGGGCCCCGAAAACAGGACAACCAAATGCTTGGTTCTGATGCTTTTGTCAGAAATGAAGAATGAATTTAAACTTTAATGTGACTGAGATCTTACAAACTATTTCAATGCAGTCGTTGGATCAATAGTTTACCAACTTTTCTCTCAGCTCGGACTGGAGCAGTTTTCCAGAAGCTGTCACTGTCCTTTGTCAATATTCTCACCTCATCCATTTCTAATAATCAAAGTCTTTATCTTTGTGCAGAGGCAGGTCGCTGGTGAAATCCAGACCCAGCCCCAGGACCGTGCTGTCAACCAGATCGCCATGATGCTGGCCATCATGGGCCTGAGCCTGTCCTACTACAGCGCCAAGCAGATGACGGAGAAGGTGCACTCCCAACAGTCTCCCTGAAGTGGACCTCGGCCAAAACAAACTCTGGTGAAGAAGGCGAGATGCAGAAGAGGAAAGTTCTGTTGGACCGGACTCTCTGTTCCTCTGCATCGTCTACGTTCAGAGACTCCATAATCACCGCAGATTTCAGAGCTGCTTCTGCTGTTGGTGTCCCTCCTTCTTTAGTCTGACTGGGATCTGAAGGATGTGTGGGGGTTGGGTTCGATCGCCAAAGTCTGTGGGGACGGGTTTGGCTTGGTTCAAAACTCAGTCCATTCTTTCAAAGATGGACGATGTTTTCCCGACGGGTTTTCTCTGGGCATTAGTTGTTTCAAAGGTTGGTTCTAGCGAGATGTAGCAAGTACTAAACTCGTCTGCAGACTAGTTAAACTGAAACCCAGATGAGGAGTAGTGCACATCCGCTTTTTGACCATGAAGTGATGCCAGAACCACAAAAACAAACCTGGGAGGAACCATTTCGTTTTTGTTTTCCCAATGGAAACGTCACACAGCTGCCTGAACAGAGCCATTCTGTCTAAAAGTGTATGAAATGTTTTGCACAATATCCATGTTAGATCCTCCGTCAAAGGGACTCCACCGCCTCCTCCACAATGTCATCTTTTTATTATTATTGTCCGTTTATTTCTTGCCTTACTTGTGGAAGACCCTTTTACGTATATTCAACATTGCATGAGTGTGTTCCCTTTTTACTTTTGAAATCAACCGTTTTTATTATGGATGTATATTTTTGTAATTATTGAATAAAGCTGTGAATATGTTGTTCATATTTAGTTGAAATTTTCTGTGAGCTAAATATTAACGTAGAGAAATGTTGCCGTCGGATGTTAACGCTGGAACTTGACGAGAGAGCGCAGGTCCTTCTGTAAAACTGGTCGGGATTGGCCTAAATCAGTCAAGTTTTGTTAGTTTTGGTGAGATGAGTGAAAACCCGACAACTAAACCGAGCTAGCACCTTTAGCTCATGATAATTACTGCAGCCTGGATTTAGCTACATTCTTGGCTGTGTATTTAGGGTCTATTGGTACCGTAGAGTCCAGGGCTGAGGCAGTCGTCCAACCGGATGCTGATGGTTGACCGACTGATGTTCTGTGACAGGCCGAGACCGGGTGGGGCGACACGTGCCCCTCTGGCCATGCTGTAACTCCGCCCCCTTCCCTCCACATACATGCAACGCCATTGTTTGTCCGGTAATGTGAGCAGGGCACCGATTGGCTGAGCTTTGAACGCGTCATAGAAATGGCCTGGTCGGTCGTGACGCCCCCGTTTCAGTCACAGCAGCAGGAAGACAAAGGACTGGAGTCAAATGTTAAAGAAGTGAAGGGATATCTTTGAAAGCACCTTAATGCAGATGGATTGTGTGCATAGACTACCATTAAACGTGCAATATTTTGAGTGGAGTTATATCTGCCGTGTCAAAATGTACTGTAATGTCCAGGGATGAAGGTTTTTCTGTTAATGTTGCAAAGCATTTAAAATAAAGTTAAATTAAAACCTGCTTCTTCTGTTTCTCTTGAATCAGCATTTTCTCATCAACACATGGTGCAAATATACAGCATGTTTTTCATTGTACTCTGTTTTCTTTGACAGTTTGGTAAAGAAACAGAGGCACAAACACGTGAAATGAAGTTTATTGAATCTCTTATTTTACTTATTTTTTTACTCCTTTGGTAATTCACATTTCCAGACACTACACTTCATCCCAAATCCTGAAATTGCGTCACGTTTATAAACTGCGTGAGGCATTGGCAAAGTCAAGTCCCGCATCAAGAAGCATTTCATCCTGGAACATATAGACAGGAGTTATATACTGTACATATAGACAGGATTTATATACTGTACATATAGGACAGGAGTTATATACTGTACATATAGGACAGGAGTTATATACTGTACATATAGACAGGATTTATATACTGTACATATAGGACAGGATTTATATACTGTACATATAGGACAGGAGTTATATACTGTACATATAGACAGGATTTATATACTGTACATATAGGACAGGAGTTATATACTGTACATATAGGACAGAGTTATATACTGTACATATAGGACAGAGTTATATACTGTACATATAGACAGGAGTTATATACTGTACATATAGGACAGAGTTATATACTGTACATATAGGACAGAGTTATATACTGTACATATAGACAGGAGTTATATACTGTACATATAGGACAGAGTTATATACTGTACATATAGGACAGGAGTTATATACTGTACATATAGGACAGAGTTATATACTGTACATATAGGACAGGAGTTGTATACTGTACATATAGGACAGGAGTTATATACTGTACATATAGGACAGAGTTATATACTGTACATATAGGACAGGAGTTATATACTGTACATATAGGACAGAGTTATATACTGTACATATAGGACAGAGTTATATACTGTACATATAGACAGGAGTTATATACTGTACATATAGGACAGGAGTTATATACTGTACATATAGACAGGAGTTATATACTGTACATATAGGACAGAGTTATATACTGTACATATAGGACAGGAGTTGTATACTGTACATATAGGACAGGAGTTATATACTGTACATATAGACAGGAGTTATATACTGTACATATAGGACAGAGTTATATACTGTACATATAGGACAGAGTTATATACTGTACATATAGGACAGAGTTATATACTGTACATATAGGACAGAGTTATATACTGTACATATAGGACAGAGTTATATACTGTACATATAGGACAGAGTTATATACTGTACATATAGGACAGGAGTTATATACTGTACATATAGGACAGAGTTATATACTGTACATATAGGACAGGAGTTATATACTGTACATATAGGACAGGAGTTATATACTGTACATATAGGACAGAGTTATATACTGTACATGATTTTAGTATGGACTTATTTACAGATGAATGACATTTACCGACTCAGCCAAACACTGTTTTAACTGTTGTTTTAAGTCACTTTAAAGAGGAATGATTGCTTTACCTGTGCTGGAAAACATAGTAGTCCTTTGAGTAAAAGGCGTAGAAAAGACAGTTGGGCTTCTTGTTGCAGGATTCTTGGCATGACTTAAGATCAGGCTGAGAAACCTTGCTCAGAGTAGGTCCGAAGAACGATCCCTTAAAAGTAACTTGCTTCCAACCTGCACAATAAAGCAGTGACATTTAGCGCGGTTTTGAGATAATACTGCTAAATATTCACACTCCCTGGTTGTAGAAAAGCCCAACCAGGGACTGGAGTTGAAAATAAACTTAAAGCTTTTTGCATCGCATCAGTTACAAGCTTGTTTTGTTCTATGTTGACTTTCCCTGTCAAAGAAATGAATAAATAAATTAAAAAATGGGTCGAATTGAAGCTTTTAAATCAAATACAGCTTGTGCAGAATTATCCAATCTCATTTCCACTGTGTTTGATTCAGCAGAAAATGTCTTTTGATGAGAATAAATGCGAGCTAAGTCCTTGATTCTAACCCTATTCATTTAGCCAACATTAGCCTGGTCTTACCACACCATTGTACTCATTTCATTTGTACTAATGTAGGAGGAACGAAAATGACATCTTTCCATAATCAAAGCCATTTTGTTTTAGATGGAGACATATTATCTCCACTGTGTGTAAATGTTGTGGTTCAGGTCTTATTGTGGTAAGAATGTCTTAAGATAAGTGCCATGGCAACACCCTTCCCCCAACGACTCTTCAACGTGTGAAGATATGCAAGGATCCACAGAACAGAAGTCTGCTTTGGAGTAACAGGACCTCTGGGTCCTGCCCAAGCAACAAAGGGGGCCCTGGGCCTCCAAGATAGGTTCAAACCTCAGCTCCACGTTTGAGAGGACTTCCACAACCCTTCCATAGCCTCCAGCTTCAACCTGAAGAAGTTACTGAACTGTGGCTCCTAGACTGTGGATCGTGGGAGGACTTGGTTCAGCCACATGAGCAGGCCCATGGTCCAGGTCCCAAGGGACCAACCATTCATCAGCATCAAGACCCAACAAGGACTGCCATCGACCAAAGGCCCATTCTGGTTGTATGATCTGCTCTTGCACACAGTTGTTGGCTTTATTAAAACCTACACTTCAAAGAACACTTCTCCTACCAAGGACACATGCAGGCCTCGGCCTTCCAATCCTTTCATGGACAAAGGCTTTGCTTTAGCCTTAGCTCACCTTAGCCATAGCATTTTAACCATGTATCTTGCAATCAACGTTTCCTTCATGTTATTCTTGACAATTTGCAAATTTCATATCTAGTCTGTATTGTGTATACTGCATTAAATCTACAAAACCATCTTTGTCTGAATGTGATATTTGTACTGATTTAACTCCAGAAATTGGGTCACTGATTTGTAAAAGAATTCATTACCTTCAGATTCTATTGAAGAGAATTGGACTAACTCGCTATTATCAATTATTGTATTTACTACATTACTGTTTTTGATCCAATTCTCCGATATCAATTAAATAACTTCAGTTATGTGTGATATCGACTTTTCTCACCCTACACTAAGGTCTGGATTTGCTCCATTGACTCCATGAACAGGTGGGAGGGGCTAACTCCTTTTGCAGATTGAAACCATTGGATCTGAGTTTACTGTGACGTATGTAATGAGCCCGAGTGAGTGAGGCATTTAGCATTTAGCCTAGCTTTAGCATATAGCCTAGCTTTAGCATATAGCCTAGCTTTAGCATGTAGCCTAGCTTTAGCCATCTCCTTTGTCACTAACGGAGCCCGTGGGGAGTAGAGCCACAACATCTTTGCTTCAATGACATTTACTAAACATTCCTCTTGCTCCGGCTTCAGTTTCTTGATATTTGGATTGAACCAGAACAGATTATTTTACTATCGCATTCTCCATGGTCCGGTACCATTTACACATGGTAAGACCAGACGTACATGTAGGAAATGATCATGGACCAGAGTTTACACATGGTAAGACCAGACGTACATGTAGGAAATGATCATGGACCAGAGTTTACACATGGTA